AAGATAAATTTAAAATACATTAAAATATTAATTATTATAACCCAATTATAGATGCTCCATAGGGGGAGCCCTATTCCAGACACTGCAGTTCTGCAGCAGAGTAATAATATTGCTAAGCAAGTTTAAGGAACACAGATCATAGAATCATAGAATTGTTCAGGTTGGAAAAGACCTTTAAGACCATCCAGTCCAACCATTAACCTAACATTACCAAGTCCATCGCTAAATCAATTAAGGGTAGAGTAGCAATTTCAATGCCTTGTCTACAGGCAATTCTTTTATTAGCTTTAGCCTCTGAACTTATGGAACTTCATAAAGGACAGGCTTCCTCATTTCCCGTTATGGCAAGTAAATAAATCTGAATCAGTTATGTCAAGTAGATAAATCTGCGTTCCTGCCAATCTCTCCAACAGGAGTCTGGACTTTCAGAAAAGCACCCACAACTCTGCTGGAAGTCAACAGGAGCTCGCTGTCTTCTCTACAAAGGGAATTCTGCACTTTTTGTGATGAAGCAATTGGACTAATGTCTCTGGGTTGGACAGAATATTCATTCAGGTTTCTATGAGGATGGGCCTTTTCAAACGCATTCCTAGGTCTTCTCATGTGAATCCTAAAAGCATCATTCTGTAATTCACAGTTTATCATAGGTGCCATATCTCACTATATGAGGTACTCACTAACATCTTTAACTACATTTACCATGCAGTGGTAATTTTCAAATTTTAATTATGCAGCATGCTAATTGGTCTTGAGAGAAATTACAGAAATGCAAACCCATATTTTTGATAAATTTGCATCAATTCAGAAATGGAATGATTTTCCTTTCTGCGATAACTCCAAAATAACAGACAAATAATAAAATTAGTTTCTATAATCCAAAAAATTGCTATGCGAAAAGCCTGAATGAGTCGTCTAACATAGAGGCTGAAATAGCAAAATGAAAAATAAGAATAAATTAAAAAAACCCACACCACTCCTGATTTTTAAGGCAGTTCTGTATTTAAGAAAAAACTTAATCTCTGAGCACTTGAAATTGCTGATTTAGTATATGTTCTAGCTGTTTAGATGCTGGAGCTAAGTTTAATAATAAACAACTAAGCCACAGGATGTTGTAGCAGCTATTGCATCTATCTTATGCTAGGCACACTTACTCTACCTTGTAATCAAAGTTTTCATTTAAGAAGTTTTTACGAAGGGCATCCGAAAGGTACAAGACTGTAGTAATGATCACACTGGGAAGAAAAAAATGAAAAAGACAGTAGTTTTCATTAAGTGGAAATTCATAGTTACTACTCAGCACCGGACAATTTTCCAATGAAGACACAGACGTAGCATGTACGGTGGCATTAAATACTACATTTTAAACATATACGCATATCTGACTACTAACAGCACCTATTGACAGAAAACATCCACATTAAGAAAAAAAACAATAAAAATAGGTGTGATAAAATTGATCAAAAAGACATACCATATAATTTGTTCTGCAAATAATGCTGATATAAGATTTAATACACACTTTGTCCTACTAGCAGTAATATATACAGTTGGGCAATTCGCTTTCAGCTTTCTTGGTACTGAAAATATGTGTGTATAGACTACAAATATAAAATATCTAGTAATTACCAATATACAATATTGACAGCCCTATGGACAAAGAGTCTTTTTAATGACAACAGATAAATGCAAAACTGCATGAGCTCTGCGAGAAAGGTCTGCATGTAAAGATCTCTATTCTGTATGGTGCAAATGGTCATACATTGCCCTACATTGACACCTGCCTGAACTACAATGATCTATCTTAGATAAATATATACGACCAAAATCCTTTCGCACTGGTTGTCACCAGGGGTCAATGACAGCCTTGTTCATTGTGGCAAGCAAGTTTGGTAACCCACAGAAACAGAACATCCTTAAAGATTATTTAAATATAATTAATTTCAGTGATTCAACCCTTAAGCTAACCTCTGCAACACTCGTGGCTATCAACATATTTAGTCAAGCCAAAACTCCATATAAACCATTAAATTCTTTTTGAAAGTAGTCAGTAGTGGATGCTTACGGGGGAGGAAGAAAGATAAACATAGAATGATCTTTTCACTGTTACACTCATGTATTTTACAACAATCAACTGTTTAAAGACCTTCTGAGAAAACGGTGATATCTACACATTTCATTTAATTGCCATCTACCCACCATTAATACATCTAGTACTTCTTTGAACATGGTTCTTGACCTGTATGCTGTTACAATGCTAAAATTTGTTTCCCTTCCCATTCTTTGGACTTCATTTTTTACTATTTTTGTAATGCATTCAAGTCAAAATATGTTTTATTAAATATAATAACAGCAATATCTATCTTTTAAGGGTATAATATTTTTCATCTTCACAACACTGAAGAATTACACATTAACCAACCCACCTAGGATATAAATTATTTTTTTCTTCTGGCACTTCTGACAGATTTCAAGTTTATAAATGCAAAATGGCTATGTATCACTTAGCTTATTACTAGTTCAAATGTTTGCTTCCATTTCTCTACTTTTAAAATTCCTGTCCCTGCCAAACTTTACCTTCTGGTTTGATGTGTGTGAACACCTATAACAGCCAAGACTGAGACTGTTGTTAGAACACTGCCTGATTCTCAAATTTCGTTGGTTCTAGTTCCATTGCTCAAATATAATTTTCATACATATTATTTTCTCAACAATTATATTGTAGTTTTTCTATCGAAGTAGTGTTCCTTGTTCAGCACTCGTACAGTTTACCCCACTTTTTCACTAACAGGGAGTTAGTGTGTGTACAGCAATCCCTGTTGCAGCATGGAAGACAAAGTGAAACGTTAACAAACTGTAATATAAGCAAAGCTAAGAATCAAGGCATGGGTAAGAAAGAGAGTCCTGTCATTCTTGTTATTGTGCATGATTTAATTTACAGCCCATATGTTTCACAAAATGGAAATAGTTTGCATATTTCAGGAAGATGTTCTGATAGAAAAGGTCAGTTCATCAGAACTATCGCTATGCAAAATTTCAACCTAAGTCCAAAGTAATAAATCCCTGAAAAATTGCATGCAAGAGAAAATTCCACAAGATCTCAAGAACTACAACCATACTGCCAAGCTTACATTACATAGTTCTATTTACATCTGAGACAATTCCTTTCTTGCCACATTCCTTCCATGGCAGGTGAAACTGAAGACAAAGATCTGCTTAAATTCTTATGAGAAGGTGATTAGAGTAGAAATCTTAAATGCACGTTTTAGAATATTTTTTCCAGAATTTTCCTGAGAGAACCGAATAACTGCAATGCAGGTATTTCTTGCTATAGGCAACATAGCTCAGGTTTGATGTATTTGGTAAGCCAAAGATACGATATGGATGAGTTGATAAAATGCAGGTCTGTAGACCGAGAGTGTATGTTTGTAGATAAAAAACCTCAAAACATCAGACTGAACACAGAAAGATGAAGCAATTGTTTTTGACCCACAATCTGTTATTCTGAATCCACAACAAAAACCAGAAAACATTGCTGAGGTTGGGGGTTCGCTTTCCTCTTTTCCTACAAATAATGTAGGTTCTATAAAAAAAAGCGAAAACGCACAAAGCAGAGACAGCAGCCAGAGGACAGATGGACAGCTGCCTGATCTGGTACAATACTCACATTCCAAGTTGCTTCCCAGCCAACGATTTCAAAACAACAACTTTTATTTAAAATCCATTTGAATATCAAACTAGAAAACACTGAGTTTGTGACAAGACTTGATTTTCTTCCTCTTACCACCTGCCACAAATTTGCTCACAACCACTAACTGTTTTACAGGAGCAAAACCTCTGCTTTTAGCTACGTAATTATTCTGGCTTCATACAGAATGCTAACCCAAGGTCCAGTCAGGACATTTTTGACAGAGTGGCTTTTCCACCAAATTTTCACAGAAAACCTTCCCGCAATAACCTGTTTGAAAAATCCAAAGCAGCCCCTAGAAGTTCAGCTACTGGTTTGCTGCCTGGACCATGCTCTGGCAACCTGGCTTTTGCCTGGGCAGCCAATGGCAGAAAATGAAAGCTTTCTTTTCCGTTCTGATATGGGACAAATATATAACGTTAGCTTTTCATTTCACCCTTTGCTATTTCAGAGTGAAATCTTTCCAAGCACAGAGGTGTCTGAACAAAAAAAAAGTTTTTCGTATTTCATAAATAAATTAAATGAACCTAAAGTCACATATATGTGTATATATCTATTGTTCTATGTATATAAACTTATTCATACTTGCATACCTATGTATATACATGCTTTTTGTGACAGACTGAATGCCAGGTTCATTTGTTAGCAGCATTTTGTATTACATAAAAGCAAGAATGTTGTTAGCAACACTGTATTACATAAAAGCAAGAATTTTTGTTCATTGTAGGAGTCTCACTCCCACACCATGGGAGCTAACAGGATTCTTCAAAGCAGCCATAATGATGAAATTAATGCTAATTCAATGTCTTCCTTTACTGTGTATAATGTTTGAGTTACTTTTTAAAAAAACAATAATAATGTCTTTCAGTCATTACTAAATTGGATAACTGTTTAAAGTCCCTATGCCCAACTGTCGGTAGATACATTTGGAATTTTAGTATAAGCAACACACTATATAGTACATCTTACTTTACAGATCAATTATTTTACTACAAATAAGACTATTCACACATCTATTTTGCATGCTTACAAGATTCAAATTGAAAATTGGATGATCTAGCATCTCTACCATTCAACAAAACGCTGAAAGGATATACATAGTTAATCATACAGAGCTCTTTAAAATTAAAGCTTCTTGCATACCGAGAGCAGTAGAAAATTAGTTCATTGTTCAATAACACGTAGGCATAGTATGTTATAAATATCAAACCTTTGCTCAGCAAGTAATGGAAACTCACTTTGCTATCCAAAAGCCTCCTCAGTTGTTAATGAAACATGACATACATGGAGTTCAGCTGACTCTGTTAAACGCTCTCAAAAGATGCCAGAAAATTAAAGCATTAGATAACTGATTCTTTTCCTAACCTTAGGGTAACTTAAGCAAGTGACCGTTACACAGCGATTTTCAGTTGAGAAAGATATTATGAAGGTGTTATCCAGAAGTTTCAATTTTAGTCTGGCATATTTTATTATAGAATTTTTGATTCCTCTCTGGCGCTAGGCAACTGATTCAGACATCTCCCTATATTATGTCGTGTTCATTTGCAGTTACAAATAGAAGCTTTGCTTAGAGGGCCAGCAAGCTAGCTTACTACCTAGTTGATGTAGAAAGTAAGCCTATCCCTATAATGAAAGAAATTAAGACTGTATTTTCCATAGTATATATAAAAACATATTGTGTCACTCAGTAGTAATATCCATGTGAGAAATATTAGATAACCATTACTAATTATTTTGCTTTGCTGAATGTATGCTGATTAGCTCCCTACAGACACTACATAGTTATGCAGTTTTAAACAGAGTTAATTTCTGTCTCATTGCTCGACTGCTAGAAGCTAAAAAACATTAAGGATTTTTTTGCATGTTCTTCTCCTTACATCACAAAACACAATTAAAAAAACCCAACAAACCTATTTCTCTGCTTTAGTGCTAAGTCTGCCTTTTTAAACGTTACTTTATTTCTCAAATTTTGGAAGTCACTTGGTAGTTTTATAATGCTAGCCATTAATGCTTTTTCATGTTGGGCATCCAGACATTCGGAATTATAGATCATGCATGCATCATCGTGAAGTATCGTAACTTCTGAATAGTTACAGATTTGTCTTCTTGCGCTCACAGTATCTCCTGGGGTTTTTTATCCGAGATAGCATCCACGTATCAGATGCTACATAATTACTGAAAACACTGCAACAAGAAAGAAAAAAATCTAGAAGCCAGGGGCAGCAATATTTATAGATATAAATATTATGTATTTAAATAACAATGGCATTTTAAGACCTAAAAATCTTTCACATAATTGAAGTTCTGCATATATAAATAAGAGAAGAGAAAAAAAAGATTTTTATTTTTTCCCCTCAGGAAAAGCTTATCACCTGATTATATCCTTGTTAGGATTCATTTCTTCCCGAGGCTCAGACAGGTTAAACCTCTCTTCCTGTAAATATCAGACAGTTTGAATTTTTCTATCGCTCTAGGGACAGGGGAGAGAAAAGCCAGTGCTGCTGGTGACGTGACTGCAGCGATGGGTGAAGCTCCCAGGACACGCGCTGCCTGCAGATTATCTACCGGTTCCCAGGCCGAAGCCCAGGCAGCCAAGGAGGCGGCCATCTGACACAGGAAACATGACAGTCATTTTATTCCTGGGAAGCAGGAGTTGGAAAAGATCCAGACTGTTAATTAATTCCTTCATTATGGTCTTAAAAAGATGGGCTAGACCTTCTAGTTTTTCCTTTTAGATACGAACAGAAAAGCAAGGAGTTCAAGAAGTTTTGCCTTCAATCCTGAAGAGTCTCAGATCATTGGAAGCGCTCTGGCTCATGAGGGGAAGCTCAGGGAGAACGGCTCACAGCCGCTTCTGTCTGTGGTGCAGGCAGTGCCCTAATTTCTCACCCTGCCTCTAGGCTCTTCCCTTTGCACTTAAAGCTTTTGGGTGGGGACAATTCTAGCAAAGCTACTCCTCTGTGGCTCTGTGCTTTGGAACACGCCGGCGAAGCTGAAGGAAAGCAGCCATTGCAGTGGCAGTGGGGGACGCAAGTGAAAGGAAGGAGCTCCTGCTCAGAAACAGCTCTGGAAGTACTTGTGCTCTGCAGCTGAGGAGGGAACAGAAGTGGATTTTCCCTTCTGCTGCCTCCAAAAGGAACAGAAACTAAGCCATAGATACATAACATAGGAACGATGAGTCTTCAGTTCACCACACACTTCCAAGTACACCTGGCCAACCCCCTATTTCATGGCAAACCAGCGTTTCCTCCACAAAGGAACGAAGGCCTAGCAAAACAATTACTGAATGCCAAATTGCTAAAGATGTGTTTACATCCCATTTGCTGGCAGTAATGCTTATGCAATCGCGTGCTATCAGGTTCAGTTAGCCGATCTGATTGGCTTCTCATGGCCAATTCCCACCAGCACTTATTGTCAACTCCTGCCTGTCTTCTTTGCCTGACAGAACTGGACACAGCATCACCTCCTAGATGGTCAGAAACAACGTGACATGGATTAATAAAAGCAGATGTGTGAGGCTAACTAAAATACTAGTGCAAGTAAATATTCCTTTTGCAGAACTTAGTATCATCATCTTTAGCATATCTGAACACCACCAGCCTGAGAAACACGTGCCAAGGTCGTTCCTAAATCTTAGTTTTGTACATGTCAGCTGTTGCAAAGCCATCTGCCAAGCCAGCTGTTTCTGGAATATATAACAATTTCTTAGATTATATATTCAGTCTAAAAGTTCTTATGTTTTTTCTCTCTTTCCTGGGTTTCTCAGTTTATTTCTTAAGCATGATTATCAGATGCAGGCTGGTATCAGCCATATCTTCTTTAATATCATACACAGAAACAAATGATCATATCCATTCTTTGATTATGAACAATTTTTCTTTTTGCTGTAATTCAAACTTGGCAGGATTAGCAACACTAAGTGAGGTAATAAAAATTAACAAAAAATGTTATTTTTTCCAAGTCATGACAAAATTTTAAGCATGATTATCAGATGCAGGCTGGTATCAGCCATATCTTCTTTAATATCATACACAGAAACAAATGATCATATCCATTCTTTGATTATGAACAATTTTTCTTTTTGCTGTAATTCAAACTTGGCAGGATTAGCAACACTAAGTGAGGTAATAAAAATTAACAAAAAATGTTATTTTTTCCAAGTCATGACAAAATTTGAACAAATACGATGATGTTTGCATACCCCCCCCCCCCCAAATATGTATCATGAACACAACTTTTGACAAATTTAATTGTAACATTAACAGTTACTTGTAGTCTGTACAGCACCATGAATTTAAATTCTCCTTGGAGCCAGCAGCCACAATGCAGGCTAAAAACCAATTCCCATCAGGCATTGCAATACATACCATGAAAGTTTAAGTCAGTCCTAAATTCTGGATTCCTAGGTCTGCCCAACACAACCCCCCTCCTTTGCCAACACTGGTGTTTGTATAATTGTGCTCAGCTGGCTTATCTGATCTAAAGCTAAGCCTACAAAAAAGAATAGCTGGTGATATAGGTGAAATAAAATTCAACAGTTTTAGACACGTTGTAATGACTCCTCAGAAACGCTGGGAACCTGCTTCTCTAAAAGTAAGGCATGAGCAGAGAAAGAATAGCTCGAAGGCAGGTTACATCTCAAAGTATCACCAGGCAATGCTTAGAGCCCTACGTTACTCTTGCCTGTGCTGTACCTCATTTCCTGATTTGCGATTTTTAATTTGTGTTTTTTCTGACAAGCACTAAATTAACAAACATGCAAAAACATCGCTAATGATATTACAGCAGATAATTTCTTCTTGAGAGCAAACAGATCTTTACTAACTTAGCATTTCAACAAACAGATCTGAAATGAAGTTCTGTTGAGACTTGTCATTTGCTACTTGGAAAACAAAGCTGTTGATGCTTAGCATCTTCTTTCTGTAAAAGTGTTTCTGAATTTCCAGTTATATGTGCTTACTGAAATTCAGAATAGAAAGAGGTGCAGCTAATATTATGAATTTGTCATGTAAAATAAGTCCAGAGATTTTAAATCTTAAATTAAAAAATGAAAAACTGCAGCCAGCATTGTAAAAGATATTTTGAATTTTTATTACATACATCATATAACTTTATTTATTTATACCATGATCTTCACATACTACCCATATTTTTTATTAACATTAAAAATGCCTTACTTGTTTGCAACCAAACGCATCACTGTCCAGTCTTTTGGAAACATCTCTGGTCGTATTAGTATCCGAAATACAGTGAAAATCTGCAGCAGGAAATCCTTTGGAAGGAAAAGAAGCAGTCATATATCTTTGCTGCTTTAAAAAGAGCAGTGAGCTTCAAAAATACTTAAATCAGAGACAAAAAAAATCATTATAGAAATAGCACAATTGCATTTCTTTTCAACATATATACACCTTTGAATATTTTTTCATTTTTTCATTCCCCACAAAAGCTTCAAATAGTGATTTAATTCATTTTTCTTAAAAGGAGGAAAATAATTTAATGTGCCATTTGATTGACAGCAATGCATAAGAGAAATGTCAAAGATGCATTTGGTTTCCACCCATACACTTCCACAAATGTGATCCTGAGAACAATTTGCAAATCAAAAAAGCACTTTACAAACACTACAGAGTTCTGAATATCTCCTTAATCATGCCAGGTTTTCATCACTTTCAAGATTTACTCTAAAAGTGGTATTATTTGGTGGGAAAGAGAGAGAGTATAAGGACAATTTTATCACTGGGTTTGCAAAGATCAGTGAATTCAATAGTGATGCCCAGGCCCCTGAACTGTTATTGAAGCTGGCTGGCTGTATGCAGGTCACTTAGCTGAATCTATAAAAATAGTGAACACATGTGAGCTACTTTGAATGTAAAAAACACTGCTTAAGAGCTTTTAGCATTATCATCTCCTATGTCATTTAACTCACTAATAACTAAATGAAACTATTCCTCTCAGCACATGTTTTTTCTGATTTTCTTTTCACAAGTAAAACTACCAACAAGGGTAATATTTCTAAAGGCCCATCTTGACTGTGTAAAGTACTGCCAGTATTTTTTTAGTAAGCAAAATTGAGCTTTTGACATCATGAAGAGCATGAGGCAAGTGATATAACACGCCTAACAGCATCAGTGTGGTACCTGACCTTGAAATGTTTTGTATTGATTCTGCCCACGCCACTTCTAGAGAATTAGCCTGAAACACAGATGAGATGGAGATACAACCAAAAGATACCAAATAAATAACAACACCAAAATACCTTCTCAAGTGCATTTACCAAAGTGTAGATGACGGGCATTGCACAACAGATGTCTTTCATTAGAGAATCACTGTAAAGGGGAAGGAATGCAGGCACTGGGAAAGGCAGCTGAGATCCCTGCACCCACCCACCAGAGAAGATTACATAAAAGAAACAACCTGTTTTCTGAGCAAGATGCCAAAAATTTCTCTGTATTAAAGAGTACAAACAATACTCATTGCAGATAACATAGTGTCTCAATGCAGGTGACCAGCTTTACAGATAAACAAGTAGCTCTATGAGCAACACATTTATTCCAGGCTGCTTTCCTATAGCTTTGCACCCCGTAGTTAAATTTCAACACTTCTGCCTGCTCCTTTTTTTCTTTAGGGGTCACCTGCCTTCCCTGTGCCATAATCCCTGCAGCTCTGTGCCATAATCCCAACAATATGGCAATGCCTCAAATGCTGCTGAATGCCACCTCGCAATAATGTCCCAAATTCACCCATATCCCATTTTTATCCTGTCTGTTGTCCAGACACAATACATGTCGCTGGCGTTAGGGAGCTAACTGACTGGCTGCTGAACTGAAGAGACCAAATGGTTCCCGGTTGTGAAGCCAAGCAATGGGTCAAGGACTTAAAACCCAAGGGCTGCATGAGGTGTAAACTTAGCACCTTTGAGACCCACGGGCCACTGCCAAAGCCTGCTGAAAATTAGAAAGATAGAATCGTTTAGGTTGGCAAGACCTTTAAGATCATCAAGTCCAACCATTAACCTAGGACTGCCAAGTCTACCACTAACCCATGACCCTAAGCATCACATCTGCACGTCTTTTAAATATCTCCAGGGATGGGGAGTCAACCACTTCCCTGGGCAGCCTGTTCCAATTAATCAGCTTGTTAAAAAGCCATTAAGAATGACAGAGAGGAAGACCATATATACTTCATTTCTTTAGGTAACTAGGCTAAAACCAGAATAAATCTTTTATTCCACGCAAACTTTAAAACAAATCAAATGTAGACACTGGCATTAAATTTTGAATCGTTAACACCAGTCTAATTATTTCTAATTTTAACAGAAAAAACAGAAAATTGTGTCATCAATTTAGTGATAAGTGATATTAGATACAAAATGTGGATTTGAAAAGCCCAAGCAAAACTGAAGATCTCTTTGTTACAGTCCATGGTAAAAACAAATAAACAAAATGCAGTATAATTTAAAGCTGAAATATAACTGAAAGAAATAGATAACTTCTAAAAAAACTTTAGAAAAACTAGTCAGTTGTAAGATTTTCAGGATAAAACTATTAAGTTTTGCTTAGCAGAATTAATCTGTAGCTAACTTATTTTTCACGATTCAGTTTTTCGTACATTTGGTAATACATTTCCCTAGGAATCCATTATAAGCATGAAAATCACCAAAGGGTAAAATGCCAGCTGACTAGTCTGATATTTTGCCATTAATGTGTTGGTATCCTCCATGTGTCAGCACTGCTCATCGATATTCAGTGCTGGTATTCACTCCCAAGGGACCCACCTCCATGTAGCAATTCCATAAAATGTTTTGATCAGCGTTAGAATGCCTGGCATTTTGCATGATGCAATTGCTCATTTTTCTTTCGTGGTCCAAACGTCACAAGATACTACTATGAAGTACCATTCGTGGAAGATCAATTTTATAACTATATTTTGAACTGTTTCCTTTGCACTAAAATATTGTCTTTCATAGTTGTATCTGCTCTGCTGAACACATCATAATGATTTAGTAACAGATTTTAACATTTAAAAAACATTTTTGCCGGCAGTATAAATGAACTAACATTTGGTTGGTCGAGTACAGATATAATTAATGTCTCATATGCTTTCTATCTTAAGAGACAGCAAGGGAGTAATTTCGTCCTTTTACATACTCTAAATACCATCTCTTAATATTCCTACCTAGTGTACATAAGTTCTAGTACTATCTTACACCACTTAAATAATATCACAATATCACAGTTCAGTGTCCTCTAGCAGCAATATTTGCTTGTTGAAATTATCAAACTGTGATTAAGTGAGAAGCATGGCCTTCTGAAAGACTGAAACCCATCTATTCATTTAATCAAAAACTGCCTTGGAATTTCTTTCACATTTCCCTGTATGCATGTAAAATCCTCTGTAAAGCAGGTCAGACTCTTCACTGGTGCATGTGTATTATCATTTTAGTTCACTTTGAAGCTAACTGCTTGATCATCCACTGCTTTGGTTCACACTGCAGAGTTATCAAGCTACTTGATACCAAGTCTTTCTAGAGCATCCTAGAGCTTTTTTGCAGAGTGCCCAGGTGCCCATAAGAAAGAGGATGGTTTGACCGTGAGCTGTCTCTGCCCAGACAACTCAACCCATCCTGTGGCCAACTCCTTTCCCAGACCCTTCCTTCACTGCTTCCTCAATATACATCAGAAGCCACCCAAATATTTGTTTCAGAGCTACCCCTCTGCCCCAGCACTCGTGCTTTCAGAAGCCCCATACGTGAGCGGATGTCCCTGCATAGCAGGGGAAGGACGGTGGCTGGAACTGAGCTTCTCCACCAGAGACATTCCCCATGCCCATGGACCTCACACAGCCTGTGTCCCAGGGGTCATTAGAGAACAGTGGAATAAATTGCACTTGGTGGTAGGGTTTGACACCCACCTTACCCTGCTCAGGCTCCTTTACCTGGAAAAGAGGAACCAGAGAACTAGTAAGGTTTACACCCATCCCTATGAAATATTATCTTTTCCTTATCTGCCACATATGTAAGGTACACTGCCAATGGACAAAAACTAGGCCTTCTGGCAGGTGCTTATCAGTTTGTTTTGTCTTCTTTTAATCTATTAATTAAAAAACACACACACATCAACCAAAAGCACGTTGCTGTGGTCAAAGCTGCATTGTGCTAACATATACTGTTTTTCTCCTTCACTTTCCCACTTCTCTCCTCCTATTTATAACTTCCACTGTTACCTTTTGTCATAAATTATATCAGCTTTTTTGCGGCAGCAAATATCCACCTACAAGGGCGCCTCTGTTCTATAAATTGCTATAAAATATATTTACTAGAAGACGACAGTATTTTGTGGTAAGCAAAAGGAGCATATCTTTAAAATAATATTGTAAATGCTTCCTTTTATCTTTCAACTACTGCCTCATTAAATTCAATGTTTCAAAAAGTGAGTGAAGTATAGTCTCTGGTGCTACCACTCAGCCATGAATCCCCTGTCATTTCTTTCTTACTTCATTTGCATGTTTTCAAATATCAAATGCTTTTTCTATCTTCCGCTTTGTGTGGAAAAAACCTGACTCTCTTAAAGAACTGACTAAAATAAAAATAGTCACCATGTCAATTACTTAAACTAAATATATTCACAAAATAGAGGAAATATTTCCATAAACAACTACTTGTTTAAAGCATCACTCAGATGCATGTCATATAAAAATGTGTACATGTCATTCCTTCAAAGTCTCCATTTTGCCATATACTGTGATTAACAAGCTGGAAACAGTCTTTAATAATTTTGGTATAGACTGTTAAAAAAAAAAAAAGTTAGTCTGGAAGAAAGAAGAAATACCTTGTGATATCAGTGCCTAATTGTTCAGTATATGCGGTTAATTATAAACAGAGGTGGTCAAAGCAAAAAAGCACAGCAGGTAGCAATTCAAAGGCCTGGGTCACACTCAGATAAGTCCCTTGCAAACCCCGTATCAGATTTGTAACTTGTAACGTGGCTTAGAGAAGACTCAATCCACTTTGACATCACTGACTAGCAGGCAAAAAGAGGATTCAAAAATACAGCAAGCTGATGGTAGTTACCACTGAAGCTTAAATCCCAAAGTACATACTAGCCACAAGAATAACTATGGCTACTGGTTCAGTCTCTAAGAGCATCTCGGACAAAAAAATGTCTTGTCACAGATATTTACACCTTCTGAATCTTCATTTACTCATACTGATGTCATTTCCTAAGAAGCAGATCTTAAAGCAGTATAAAATACCAAGGAAGTTCCCCACTTGGCAAACAAAGCAGAAAAATACAGAGGTAAGTAGCAAGATGGTTTACATAGCCTATGTCATACACAATCACCTCATGATTAACAGCACTGTCAGCCTCACACTAGCTCTCGTCTTTCCCTCTTGTTCTCAGTTATACATATTTCAGTGATATTTGATATTTCCAAGTGAGGGAAAAAACCCAATGTATTATTTAAGATTCAGAAGAGAAGGAATGCTGCATTAATTATGGTCAACCTACTGCCACTGAATCACTGGTGGAGCTGATGCTGATTTGATGAGATCTGAATGGAAATAACAAACTCTGGACTTGAGTTCTTAAGACCTCTATTTTGATAGCTGATGGCACTGACTACAGCTGCTTTCCATATGTCTCTGTATAATAGTAGGGTATGTGCGTGGGGGGAATATAAATGTGTCAAATCAAACACCATTCAAGCATTAATTCTAGAGATTTTTCATGTTCTAGAAGCAAGAAAGTCTGAATAAACTCAGCACTGTATTTCATAGATACATCAAACAGATATCAAGGTTGAAACCTCTAGGAAATATAAAAATCTAAACCTAGGAATATAGACCTGCTCAGAACTCAAACAAAAGGGAAAATATTTTTAGTAAAAAATGCCTAGGTTCCACAACATGTACTAAAAATTGCCTAAGGATAGCAACTACGCTAGGTGAAAACAGATTGTAATACTAGTATAAAAATCATCCACCCTATATAACAACTCGGTCGTACCCTTGATTCATGATAGAGATAACTTCTCAGCAGCATTTTCTATCGTTCAAGCTCAATATGACCATCTCACTACAAAGAAAAGGCACTCACAAATAGTATGCTCTCTTCAGAACAGCTCTAAACAGATATCAGGAATTTAAGGAAATCTGAAATTGCACCATGACCAGACTCCCCTTTTCAGGCTAGTACTTAAATTTGTCAAATGGTTAATTTAAGAGTAACATCTAATAACACACTAGGACATTATTACTCTCCTATCTAGGATCACTGGCTGAATAATGGGCATAAGTGATCACTCAGGATTTCCTGTGTGGATCACATTTGGTACTATATGTTTCTTAGGGCCTAGCAGAGTGGAAGTCTTAATGTATATCTTTATAGAGGAAATCTGAACTTTTACTCTCTTCCATGATCAAACTGGGAAGACAGACATTACAAGTCTGATAGGTCCTCCTGCCAATGGACTTGCTGCACAGTCAAGAAAAATGGAGAGTTAGTTGAATATGCATTTCTCAAGCTGTGTGTTTGCCACTGCCATATATAATTTAACCAATGAATGAATAAATAGATAATACATATAATAAAACAAAAAACCCAACTGCCTGGCAGGAAGAATCAAGCAGAACTGTGTAACTGTAGATGGACACCATCTTTATAACAGGCTTTGAGGCTAGGTTTATGGCTTTAAAGCTATTATATAGTTCCCCCATCCCTATTCTACCTTCATTGTAGAAGCAACAGAATCCTAGCCCCACCATAAGAGTGGACCTAAGTACGCATGAAAGCCTCTGCAAAAGTTAGCTAATCTGAAAAACAGATTGCGTTTAAATACTGAAGTGTTTCATCAAAGCACAGGAATATCTCAAAGGGAGATAAATCAAAAAGAGACCTGAACAAGTGGAAAGACAATTTTGTTACTTACCCTCAGCTCTTCCTTTGTGTTGAAGCTATCAAGAAGCTGTTGATAATGTCTATCAGTCATTTGTCGCAAGAGTGACAACAAACAGGAGACAAATTCCCCCTGTTCAGATAAGCCAAGAATAGAAATATAATAGATTATAATGTCTTCTGTATTTCAGCTTAAACTGTCATATTATAAGCACTTAAAAATAATTTACAAATGCATGGGAAATTAATTTACAATTAGAAAACATTATTTCTTAGACTCCATATTTTGTGAAAATACATTAATTTAGCTCTGAACTTCCTTCCCATTTAAAGAATGATTTTTCCCCAAATGCAGTTTACTCGCTTAGCAAAACCTATTTGAAATAGTTCCAGAAGGGCTAAACCATTAGAAGTTTGATTTGTGATTTGTTTCCCTTGTATCTGTTTTTAAACAGACTGTTTAGATTGCTAAAATTATAACCTCCTAGTCAACTCAGTTTTGAAACGAATAGAAACAAAAATATTTTGCAACAATTCTGGGAAGAATGCTATTGTTTTCCATTAGGGAATAAATTAATGGAGTGAGCTGGGAATTTTTTCAAAACAGTTTTTCACCACAAAAAAACATATTTGTCAAAAAGAAAACTCAATTATAGGATTGAACAAAGTTTGAAAATGTTTTGATCAGAAGTTTCCTTGGACCTACAGAGGAATTTCTCATGAAAACATATATCTAGAAGTTGAGCTTAAGCATAGGGCAAGACCACTCTCTCCCACAGTGCCAATTCCTGGATTCACACTCCACTTCACAGTCCAGAAAAGGATGCTCCAGGCAGCACATGAGGGACTTACTGGACTGCTGTGTGGATTCCTCCCCGTCTCCATTGATGCACATTCACCAGGCTGTCCTTCAAACAGCATGGGATTCAGGAGCAAAAGAGAAGAAACCAGCACTGGGTATCTCCAGTGAGCGATCAACCAACCACGATATTACGGGAAGGAGTAGGTTCTCCCTCTCTCCCTTGCCTGTCTACTTGTTCACTTTTGAACTGGGAAGAAACACTGAACGGTATCACCCTGGTCCAGCTGCAGAATGCATGAGGACAGGACAGAGTGAAAGGTCTGAACTGCATCCCAGTGCTTAAAAAGAACAATTCTGAAATCTTACAAGCTTGTTAAAAAGCAGGAAATACACTTCTGGCCTCAATCTACCAGGAATGGGAAATAAGACTGGAAGAACAGACAGATATGATAAGAGTCCTTTAAAATGGTATCTTTCATTAGTTTGTCAAGTGAAATTTTGGGCAGATTTTCCCCCGTCTTTTATTAAAACCAGAAAATAAGATAAAAAAGGAGTATGTTTTCACAGGAATGGCTGTTCTGGATTTTATATTGGAAGGCCTAAGTCACTTGTGATTATACCTTGTATACTTGGCAGTGTGTGAGGTGATGGCTTTCACTGGCCACATGGTGATAAAATAATAATAGTCTTTCCCATAATAAGATTCTACACTAAAATAATGATCCCAAACTAATTACGACCCTGCAAAACCATTGTTTTTTTACAGTGAACACAGCATTCTCAAAACAATAACCTAAGGCTACAAAGTCTCTTAATCTTCATGCTCTGGGCATAAGCATCAGGGTTACAGCTGCTATCTTGTAAATATCTGAAAATTTATTTCCAACCCTATCAGGTTCTCTTCAGAAAACAAGACAACTTTGGTCGTTTATCATTATTTTTTAATATTTTCAATTTCATTATATCTAGCCTCAATGTGATTTTATCATGCCATTTAGTATAATGTAGGTTCATCTAAATAGGCATAATTTTTGGAGACTTTTATTCCAGTAATAAAATCTGAGACCACTCAGATTTGGCTAATTAGCCAAAATAAGCAGAGTAAATAAGGGCATAAGCTTACCTTGAGTGACAAAATTTGAGTATGAACATTTGAATACTTGCCTTCTTTCTTAAGCATTTTAAGCATTCCTTTCTAGTCACCTTCCTGCTACATTCCCACATTTACTTCGACTTACAGTAGTATATTAAAAATCAGAATCTATTATAGAAAGCTGTACTATTACAGTTGAAAGACAGATTAGCTTTAAAAGGGTACCAGCTTTAGCTAATTGTTAACTGACTTCTAAATTTGAGCTTTTAATTCAAATGTAGGTAGCTATACAGGCAGTTGTTTTTTAAAATAGAAATGAACACTCAGCTGCATTTATTGAACTGAACTCAAAAATGCATGTTGTAAGATTTCTGCCAGTGTAAGTCACAGACTAACTAGTCAGGGTACATGCGAATCATGCACAAAAGCAAAATCCACACACGTTATCAACCTTGATGAAAACCATTTAGGATCCAATTCTAGCGTCATAAGTCAAGCCAAGCAGTATATTCAATTCACTTAGATAGGAGCCTGAAGTAATTTTTTTGTGTCTTATTTAAGGAGCACAATTATTAAAATACATGGAGCTCACAATTAAATTGCAATTAATTTAGGTTCTGGGGGACTGAACTTCCAAGATCTGGAATGAATAAAGTTTCACTTTAATCAGATTGCTTTCTGCTAGCTCTTTATATGCAAATGCATTTTTCTTAAGGAAATCTAAAGGTCCAAATCACTGACATCCTAGAGCAGAAGTTTCATTTTTACCATTGCATTAAGTTCAATGTTTGTTAGTGCAACACCTGTAACACTGACACTCTGAAGACATGTCTTTTTTGTGCTCAGTTTAAAGCATCACATCCATCTTGCAGGTTACCATCTAACAAGATTCTTCACTGCAAATTGAAATGGTACCAAGGTACCAAAACTACTTGAGATGAAAGAAACGGTGCAACCATGGCAGTGCACAGCCTAACGCTGCCTGATTTTATGCTGCTTCTTTATGCCGCTTCTTTGTGCGGAAAAACAGTGACACGTGGGCCTGGAAGATCACACTGAGATGAGTTTGGGACTACTTCCACAAGGAAGATTATATCTAATGCAAAAGTATGACAAAATTTTATCCAATGTGCTGCCATGATACACCTCACAAACAGTACTTTTATGATACATGCAGCTTGCAATAATGGTAACATACGGGAACAGACTCTACTGCTATACTCACATTGAGTACTTTATCATACTTGCTCTACAAATAGTTCCAAGAATTTGGCTCTGTGTGTTGCTATAAGCCCATACTGCATAATGTTTCTACATAAATGTATATAATTGCCTTATGCTGTGCTGTGAGTCACTTCCACATTAAGTATTCTTTGAGATGCCTGTGGTGAAAATGACATGGCTTTTCTGATGCATAAAAAGAAAATTTTGCAACTTGAAAGCACTTTCAGAGTCTAATTTTTTGATGGTGTGAAAGAATTAGGCTGTCATGGTGTTTTCTTAATCTGCAAGCAAGTGGGTATCTCAGAAGAAGCCAATAAGCTCAGAGCTTTGCTACACTAACAGTCTAATACTACAACCCTTACTTCAGCTGAGATTTTCTTGTAATGGTCAGATATACCACACAGCACACATTTGTAATTTTGTAATTTAAAGAAAAAAACCAAAACTCTTAGATGTGTAGTCCTGCTGAATCACAGTGATTAAAGCATGGTGTTATCTTACTACAGAGCTTGGTCAGCTCCATAAAACACTCCATATAACGTTTGTTCTCTGTGGGATAAAGTAAAACAAACAAACAAAAACCCAACAACACATTTCTTCCACAGCTATTAAATGCTTTTTGAAATGTTTGATCTCAGAGGAAAGTCTGGTTTTCTATTCATTAATGAAAACCGTTACAGTGTAAAAATTGGGCAATTAATTAAGTGTATAATGAGATGGTAAATCACACAGCATAGTATGTTCTCTGCACAAAGTGTCACCCCCTCACTCCATACTGGAGTCATATCCTTTGCTATATTAGAACTGATTTGCCCTTCAAAAGCAAACCGGGAACCTTGCTGAAAACAAAGCAAAATAACATTTCATTTTGTTTCGTCAATGCTCATCACAGGCTTTCCTGTAAATGCTTGCATTTCAACCTTCTAATGTGCATGAGCTGTTATAGCAGGTTGACCAAAATATCATTTGTTAATCTTCTAAATCCATCCTCTTTGCTCTACTTCATGTTATAGAAATGAAGCTCAAATGGTCAGCCCAGAGAACAAAAAAATGCTTTTCAATTAATAAATTCGGATTTGTACAAGTTAGCATCACAGATTCTGCAAGAATTTTTAGAGCTGCTTCATCATGTAAAAACGTATGCATATTAGGAAGTAAAATGTTACTGATTGATACTCTTCCATTTTCAGGAATTCAAACTTAAAGAGAGTTTCAGAAATCTATTAAATTTGTCAACAAAAGAAACTAAATAATTATTGACCTGAAATAGTCTCAAAAGAAATTTTACCATTTGGGTTTTTTTCTGGGTCACAATTTAGAAATAAATTTAATGAAAGAAATTACTATTTCCACTGAAAATGAATAAAATCAAGAAAAGTTTTCTTTGTTCTCCTCATTCTCTGTTTTATACACAAAATCTTGACATTGTGAATTACAATCTGAACACAGTATTTTCCCAAGTCTGGTTGTCCAACTGGTGACAATTGTGAGCTATTTCATTATAAAAAACTTACAGTCACATCTTGAAACTGGAGGCGCATAGCAGAGCCTGATGGTTGTGGTCGGCTGGTGATCTCTAGTATGGTCCTTAACAGAATATCTAGCAGACTATTTACAATCACATCAATTTCTTCCAGGACAGATTTTTCCTTAAATAATAAACAAATCATTTAAGATTTTAAAATAGAAAGATAAACAAATGACAGTTTTACTATGGATGTTACATTCGAGAAACAAGGACTATTCTCTAATTAAGATATTGTTTAATTCTATTGATTTTTTTCTAACAGTTTTCAATTAATTACATTGTACTGAAATATAGAGGACAGTTATGGGGATGACTTTGAATATGTAAGCATTCATCAAATTAGCATAGCTCTATTTTCAATTAATGTTTAGAAGAAAGCAGTAAATAATATACAAGAACTTTGGGACAAGATTTTTTATAGGTAACGCCCATATATTTTCTGGGGAAATTGCCAAGAGAGGCTTAAATTCCAAAAAGTAGAATTCTGTTTTCACACTTTGAAACTATCACCAGAAACAAGCAGATGGTGCTCAACCTTCAAGACCTGCTTCAGCAGTAATGACCAGCTACATTGCCTCCCATCAACCGAGTAGCACAAACAAATTAGTCATTTATGTAAGCCTACAACTGCTTTTATGCAACATCAATATAAAGGAACCAAAGCATTCACTGCCAAATGAGACCATGAATACCTTAAATACATGCATGAAAACACTTGATGAAGTCAAGTTGTAGTTACTTTTCCTTTTTAATTCAGATGGAAATATGTTTTCCCTGCTTCAACAATGTTTTCTATCTCCACTGCAGCAGACAACATCATCTTAATCTGAGTGATGTTATCCACAATTTAAGATGACATTTCTTTGCAGAAAGAAACACTTCATAGTCAAATGCATGCAACCAAACTAAAACTCAGCTGACAAACAGATCATTCACCTTTGCTGACATTGAGGTGTAGGAGTGATTTTTTTTCTTCCTACACACCCAAAGCATATGATTTGTAACAAAACTCAAAATTCCTGTTTGGATTCAAGATGAGTCTAGTGTCATGGCCGTGTTCTCTGTCACTTCATCAAGTATCAAACAACCGTTAACTTTGCTACTTACAAAGGCAGACAGTATACAGTGTATTTAGGAACTGCATCAACTGTGAGGACAAACTACTATTAGAATGGCCAACAACCTTAATTTTCAAATCTGCCTGACTAAATTCCCTTGTTCCCTCAACCTCTAAATTATTTTGATTACCGTGGAAGGAATGAAGTTCTGAACTGATCCACAAAAATCATATCAAAGTCACCAAGTTGTTAATACTCTCAATGACTCAAAGACTACTAAAAATAATAGCTGCATATCCTGAACATTGGAGAGAGTTTTATGCAGACATCCACTTGTTATTGTGTACATCTCTGGCTTGATGACTCCAAATGAAAGATCTCCTGAAATTAAGACCAGACATGTAAGCCTTTTTCCTGATCCAAAACCACAGCTATGCTTTATCATCTATCACTTTGTCTTGTGATGAGGTATTATACTAATCCAGGAGCAGCTGTAATGAAATTGTTGTTACAGTGCCAAAGTTGCAAGCCGCATCCATATCAGGTCACTGATGGAGCAACTTTAATTGCTGACAGTGGCTATGAAATGAAGAAACACATAAAACAGTTCCCACTAACGCATTATAATGTAATGTATGCTGGCCTTGATATGTAAGTACTGCACTAACCACAGGCAATGTTTGTTTTTCATTGTATTATATACTTTTGCCTGTCAGAACATACCATCGTCTTTATATTTGCAATATACATCTCTAAGCTAGCTCTCTCATGCAGCCTTCACAGATGAATTTGCAAATACAAACATCAGAAATTGGCCACAAAGTTTATCAACTAACAACCAAGTGCAACCCCCTTGCAATACTCATATCAATCTATTTACCTGTATCACCCTTGTGTCCCCTATAACTAAACAGCCCACGACAGAAAATGCCTGTAAAAGAAAGTGGACATTGCTTTCTGTCCAACACAACACTCAAAAAGAGTCAAAGCTTGGCAGAACATTATGCACTACAATTAGAATATTACTGCATGGGAAGAAAAGGTTCATGAGAAATCAAAATGACGTGTTTATGCAGAATCATTACACAGAGAACTCTTTAAAATGGACTTGGGCAAGGTCCAGTTTGTGTCATTAAATGTCACTGAGCCATATAAAGAAGTTCAACACCTTGTGGATGTGACATGGTGTTTACTTACTGAGCTGTTCTTCTTGATGAGGCAAAATATGTTGCTAAGGATACGTGCGCACATTATAAGGTCCTTCTGCTCTTGTAAATGCATGTGGAGATGATGTAAAACTACTGGAAGAAGAATACATCGAGAATCTGGAAAAAATGAAAAATTTTATGAGTAGGAACTTCTCATAGAATCATTTAATTTAAATACAGATATAAAATGTGTCTTCAGTCCAAAACAGTATTTCTGATAAGCAGAAGCTTTTACTTGCTTTAACCAACATTTTTGATAAGCAGAAGCCTTTGCCTCATAATCACAATATCCTAAAGCAAATATCTGAAGAATAAACAATATGCTGAAGTCAGTATGTCATATCATGGATGGAGAAAACCACCACTGTGTGAAATATGCTATATATAACAGAAAATTCTAAGTATTTATTGAACTATCATGCAAAAAAACCTTAGCACGATAATACTTCTATGCAAAATAATGTGAAATTATGCTCTAGTGTTTCCTGCCACGTGACAGGATCCTTTTGCAAGCCAAGGTCACAACAGACTTCATCTTGAACTTACATTATTCTACAAGTGAGTTCTACTTTACAGACAAGCAGTACTTTCAGATTTCTTTCAGGATTTTCACTTTTCCAGATTCCTCACTCCTACAGAGTATGAGCAATTTAGACTACTGGTATCTACATAAAATGATTTGCCTTTCCTCTATTTAATTTTCTAAACACAGCTCTTCGGTGCTATTTTCAGTCCTGAATTCTCTCAAAATTATGCAAGAACTTCATTAACATGCTACTTTTTCTTGCTGCTTCTTCTAATAATTAAAGACAAAGTTAAATGGGAAGAGCCCTAATACACTTGTGTTAATACATTAAACACCTATTTACAACTTGATAAATGGAACGGGTGTTATCTGTTTTCATTTTGTTGTTGTTTTTAGATCTTTTCCATAATTGAGAAATGATGTTTTCATAGGAATGTACTTGAATCATTTCCTCTATTAAAATTTTAATGATGATTATACGCTACATTATCTAAATATATTCATCTACTCAGTTCCTTTGTTCATTAATTTCCTAAAAATTGAGTTTATCTAGCTGGAAAATTACTCCTTTAAAATAATTTTGCCAACCAGGTACTGTTCGTCGACTAGTCTTTCTACAAACACTTTTTTTGTTTTATTTCCTCTATTTTTTCCCAGAGGGAGAAAAAGATAGATTTATTCTGAGATTTTATTTGTTGAATGCTTCTTTCATTCACTGAAAGACAGCACTAATCTTGTTTTCTCTATTATTCCCTTGTTTTCATTGTCTAGTTATCTGTATAACACAAGACAAATCATATGGATAAGTTGATTTGTGCACACTATTTAAGTATATTCTTGTTTTCAAAAAAAACCTTGCCTGCACTTTTTAAATGGGTGTTTCGTGCTTATTATTTATTCAGGTGTTCCGCTATATCTTCCTACTGAAGAAAAAATATAAACAAAGACTGTATGGCAATAGGCAAAAGGCCATCAATGAATCTAAAACCAGTGCTACTGGAACCCAAAATGGGGAAACAAATAACCTCTATCCAGTGACTGCTTGCTTCTTGCAAGTGCCTCGGTAGGTTTTCATCAGGACTGGCCTGGGAGTTCCTAACTGCCTGTAGCACTGCAGCTGGGTAGAAGCATCTCAACCAATCCAACAAGGCATTTTCTTTTTGCCTACCTAAAAACCAGAAGCTCAGCAAAGTGTTGCCTCGGGGAGTCTGAGATGTCAAGTGTGCACAACTGCCACTGACCCATCCAGTGCAAGATCTACAGAGTCAGAAGGAAAGCAAGCAGGAAGATGGCTAATGTGCAGACCTGTGGTTAGGAAAGTGCCAGCTTCTGATCCCCACCACTAAATGTGCTTGTTGATTACCGACAGATGAGCACTGAACCTGGTCTTCCATTCCCAGACAAATGCCGAAATCACTACCCAACTCCACAACTGTCACAGAGCAGTTATAGTAGCGCTTTCACACTTTACTGGTGTGAGTCTTACCCTTTGGGCCATAGGTCCTCTGAGGACAGCAGGTCCTCTCTTGCAGCTACTGAAATTCCTGAGCCCAGAAGGTGAGGAGAAAACAGGAGCAGCCCTGTGTTAAGGTGCTGCTTCTTGGTTAGCTCTAGGCAGCTTCCTGATGAGCATGTACAGGATTTGGTACCTTTTCTGAGGTGCCTACTACTTACATGTAAACACAGCATTATTAACTCCATTTTGAAGATCAGAGAATCTACGTGTAGCAACACCTGACTTGCAAATAGCCAACTCTTACATACAATATGGCCTGAAGTCTCTCAGGCAAACTGAGCATCCTCATTCAACTGTTTCAAGTATCCCTTTTTTGCAAAAGCTACATAAAATGATCAGGAACTTTGTTTTACCAAGACCAAACAGGTTAGCAAAAAGCATCTGACAATGGCTTGCAACTATACATGGGAGGAAACAGTGTCATTTATTGAATTAACCACCACATATATCACAGTTTTAGATATATTCCTCACAAGCCCATAATCTAAATACTTCTCTGTCTTGACCTGTTTAGGTGGAGAGATGTAGTGGTGTTACAGAAGAGGAAAGCCAGCATATTCACCTCTGAGCCAAACCAAGGACTACGTGAGCAACTTTGGAGAATGTAGTGTACAGCATTTGTCTCAGGTTACTCTTTTTCTTAAAAATTGTCAGCTGCAATGTCAGCCACTGTATATAGAAAAATTAATGAGCTAAAGGAATGGTGCAATAATCAGAACTCTCAGCCATCAGTCACTGTCCTAATTTTTCTTCTGTGCAGGAAGCCAAATTAGCTGACTGTTTAAAATGCTAATACTTGCCCTTTACAAATATTATGCAGAAAGAGAGGAAAAAAAATCATGACATAGAGCTTTTTGAGTACATTCTTGGCATAATTAGAGAGACTACTCTGGGCAATCCTTGTGACTTTCCTAGGCAAGCTACATTAACATTTAATATTTAACCCACAGCACAACTTTCCCCCTTGCTTTTCAGTTAGTGGTAAAGCACCTGCACAGACATACAAAACTTTCTTTATTCTAGTGTATTTTAAAGATAATTTCAGAAAGATGATATTCATTTCAATGACTATATCTGAACAGATGGTCAAAACTTCAGCCTGCTTGGAAAATGAATTAGTGTAATTGAACTTTTTAAACAAACAAACAGCATTCTCCGTGAACAGCGAGAAATGAGAAGGAAGTTGCTCTTGGACATATTCAGTTTACGCCTCCTTGTTTGGAAGAACCACTGGACTTGGGAGTGGTAGAAGAAAATGCTTAAGCCAAACAAACAGTTATCACTGCAATTCCAAACCCAAACGTATATGCCTGCGCTGTGACTGCATGGACATGTCACTGTTCTCAGAACAGTCAGTTTCAAAATTTTTCTGAGGAACTGTTTTCAATTGAAATAAAAAATGTGCGTGTAGTGCAGAAGGAAAACACAGGTATGGCTGAGAAAGTCCTCAACAGAGGACTACAACAGAGCCACAGACGCAAAGCATCATTTGCAAAGCTTTTCCAAAATATTTTCTGCTCTCCACTACAGAGTACTAATAAAGGCTGAATTTTTGTATGCAACATACATACATACACCCCCCCCGCCCCAGGTATGTATAGAAACACACATACACAAACAACTCCAGAGAACAGTATATTGCTGTGGAAAACAACTTAAGAAATACTAATTAATCTGAAAAAGATCCTGCACTACTTGAAAGCAGTACTATGGATCAATGTGTGAAGTCTTTATGTTTTGAAAAAATTGACTCTTTTTTTTTTTCAAATCTGTGTTAATATGTGAAGTTTAATGCATTTTAACTAAATTTAATTCAGGATTTGTATCAACAATTTCAATAATGATAGGCTTTTTGCATTTTAACAGCAATCAATTAGCTTGCAGTGATTACTGAGATATCTGACAAGTCTCATTAAAGAGAAGTTTTGAGTCTTTTGAAAAAAATATGGAGTAAGAGGGAAATCATAATACCTAGCTTCTAGAACTAAACCTCCTTATCGGTTAATGGTACCTTTTCCTGAACTTGCTAACAACTTTTTTTTCATTCTCGTAGGAAGTCAAACACGTAACAACGTCCTTTCCACGAGGCAGTTCAAAGATATTAGATTATTCTCACTGACTGTGTCAGATATTGATCTCTGAATGACTACTGAAACAGTTTCCTACGTGTGCATTCTCCTGTGATATACAGGATCCAATTCTTAGATGAACTCATTCACAAAGACAGACTGAGGGAATCAGTCAATCTCAGAAAGAAAACAAATGGATAATTACCATTTTTTCTAATCTATTAATGGTGGGTTTCAGTGTAAAATAAGGAAAACGATAAAAAACAGATAAGGAATGAGTTATATATAAAATAACTACATAAAACTTTACATATGAAATAAATTAAATAAAATGAACACACGAAGATGCCTTTAAAACATCAACTCAGGATTCCTCCTAGCTTTGTTATATGTATCATATATAGATATCATATACCATATGATATCTATAGTGTAAATGGTCAGAGAATTAAACCCCTCCTCTATTCATTTTGAACAGTTTGCCTCACTAAAAGGAAAAGTCCTACCCAGCTACTCTTGTGCAGAGGTCCAAATCCTCGTATTTTGGGAAGACACAAGGTTTCTTGCCTTGCAAGAACATTCTCCATGTGGTAAAAAGCTGCACCACAGATTATAACTGGGCTAAGATACAGGCTTTATCAATATGGGATTTTCTTTTTTTAGGACTTCACCTACCAACGTAATCTTTCTTCTGGTAATTGACGTGTTTGATTGGTGGTGATTCCAAGAAAACTCATCCTCTTTGGAGGAAGAAACCTAGACGTTCCACTTACACATCTCACTTTTTCATAGCTACTGAATTTGCAAGCTCAAAGTAGTGCCCTTAGAGAAAAAAATCATTGGTGTTCTGCTAATTCCTGTTTAACCATGTCAAGAAGGACATAGTTCAAGATGTGTTTCTCTGTTATTGGCCTTAACTCTTCCCAGCAAAACAGATTTAACTCTTCCCCAAAGCAAGCTATAAAATATTTAATGCATAAAAGACAACAAACAAGAGCGCTAGGCTACTGATGTATCTGAAATGACAAAGGTAGAAAATCTTCTGGGTACAGGCATATGTAGGTCATCAATTTGGCCGTTCTACAAGTATCAACAGGGATGCGTCCAAAGAGTTACACCCAAAATACCAGGAGACTGGACAAAAGGTCAAGAGGAAAAAAAAATACTGCTAGTCTTTTAACTGTCATCTGTTTCTTTTTAGACACCCAATGTGGTGTACTACAAAGATGCAGAAGTAAATATGGAAAAATAGAAGACCTTAACACGCACTAACTTTTCACATAAGCTAAGGAGATAACTGCTGTTGACACCTTTTAACATCTCTGTAGTTGTTACCTATAGGAAGGGCTGAAGTTTAAAATCACTGAAAAAGAAACAGGTTCTAAGCAAGCTATATCAAAGCCTCAACACACAGCCATTTCAGACATCCTATCCACACACGATCAGTAAATACAATATACAACCTGCGTTCCCTAGAGAGGCAGGTAGAGACCAGATGCATCAAATACATCTGCACTTGTACTAAACATCTGTCATTGGGCATTTTAAATCAACCCCCACGTCTGATGTTTCCATGTTCAACATGTCATGGTTTAACCCCAGTTGGCAACTAAGCACCACACAGCTGCCTGTTGACCCTCCCCCCCTCCCCGCCCTGGTGGGATGGGGGAGAGAATCAAAAAAAAAAAAAAAAAAGTAAAACCCTGGGTTGAGATAAAGGCAGTTTAATAGGACAGCAGAGGAAGAGGCAGAGGAATAACAACAACAACAATAAAAGAATATACAAAGCAAGTGATGCACAATGCAATTGCTCACCGCCCACCGAACAACTCCCAGCCAGTCCCTGAGCAACAATCGCTGCTCCCTGGCCAACCCCCCCCCAGTTTCTATACTGAGCATGACGTCGTATGATATGGAATAGCCCTTTGATCAGGTTGGGTCAACTATTCTGGCTGTGCCCCCTTCCAGTTTCTTGTGCCCCTGGCAGAGCATGGGAAGCTGAAAAGTCCTTGACTAGCATAAAGCAGTACTTGGCAACAACTAAAAACATCAGTGTGTTATCAACATTCTTCTCCTACAAAATCCAAAACACAGCAGTATGCCTGCTACTAGGAAGAAAATTAACTCTATCCCAGCCAAAACTGGGATACAACAATATACCAAACACATGTCCCAGGTTTAGTAAAGGCATAGCTTTAGTGTCAGTTGATTTCTGCAGCAGCGGGAGCTAATGTGTTAGTTGTTCAGGCCCTTGCAGCACAAAATGTGTAGAACTCCCATGCTAAAGTACTGTCACTTGTTTCCAAGCAAGCTCCAGATAACAGAAAATGTTATCTTAGAAGTGCCCTCCTCAATTTTTGATGTTTGAATAAATAGTTATTTCCTGCTTTCTATCTAGTTCTAATGTGATAGCTAGCACTGCAGCTTGCAGCACTCATCAACTTCATCTGGGAGACAGAAATCAATTATTTTCACAGCAGCAAGCCTCAACTTCACATTAGGATGTACAGTTTACTCCGCACATTAACATAGTCTAGTGCAATATTTATTTTCCCAAGAGGATTTTAAAAGGACTTCCTTCTAGGGATTGACTGAGGGAAAGTCTACTTATATTTTTTGTATTTTAAAGAGATAAAACATTAAGGGCAAAAAGACCAAGATGCTGATCTCCACATGACCCTTCAACTTAATGATGCCTCAAATTACAGTGTACAAGTGTTTGCCTGAGCTTCCTATCACGGACATTGGGAGCTTATATTACTGCCTGATGTCTTTCACATCAGTTTCCCTGTGGTCTAAGAAATTTATATTCTACTTGTGTGTAACCCACACGCCATGTGAAATTTAACATGTACTTTTCATTGCTTTTATAGCCAAACCAACTCAAATGAATTCTTAATAATGAGACTGGGTTTGAATAAAAAAGCTAACACTTTTACGAAAGGAAGCAAACAAAAAAAAAAGTCATACAGCTGAAAGCAGATTGACAGTTCCAAGAAAGTCCCCAAGAGTCCCTCACATGTCATTAAATAACTCTTTTTAATTACATTCATTCAGTTGGATCTTCTGGTTAGGCTGACCTAACTGAGATAATGGGAGGAAAATGGAAATGGTGCTACCTGGTCCCTAAGTAGTTTGGAAAATGAAAAGCATAACTTAGAGCGTCCTTAAGATTACTCCATGAATATGTCATCATCTACCCAGAGTATCAAAGGTCTGATCAATCAGCCGTAGGGAGAGCTAACTTCTAGAAGAGACCGCCGTGGAGGCTAACAAGGGAAAGGGTAAGCTGTTTTTGCAACCCAAATGAAGCAAATAGCCAGGATCCAATGCTTCTTACCCACTTCTTTGAGCTCATACTTTTAAAGTACAATCACTGAAAGCATTTAAAAAAAGAAATGTTTTAAGATCTCTTCTTTTATTTTGCAGCATCTCAAAATATTTATGCATATCCTGGTGGTTTTTGCAGAGCCTTTATCATTGTAATGTTTATCTTGAACGCTTTAAATGGTAAAAGTTGCTGTTTCTACTGAACTCCATCAGCCAATACCCAAGCAGCTCTCAAGAGGGCTTTTGGTGAGTAAATTGACACTTACTAGAATTCTTTAAATCTCTTCTATTTTAATTCTTTTATTTCAAAATTAGTTAATCTCAAATTTAATATTTGGTCACTTCTGTGGGTTTCACTTAGCATAGAAAAAAAGAATGTCAGGCTCACCACTACACAGCAGTTTTTTTCTTCCCTGTAGCAAATAACTGTGCTGTTATATACTTTATGCACCAACTATCACTTGGATTTGTGTAGCCTTTCTATGCTACATGAAGAAATGGAGGATCAAAAGTGCTGAACTAGCAAGAGTTACGCAAATAAGACTTAATGGATAAGTGACAATCTGTTTGCTGAACTGCCCCCAAAGGAGAGAAAAAGAAAAAAAAAAAAATCAATTTAGTAAAGCTTTTTCCTTTATATTACTTAAAAAGTATAAGGCAAACTTCCTTCACAGACATATTGCCAGAAGGAGATCAAAACAAAACTATATTTTAAGAGTCTTTGTCTCTAAAAAACCAAACCACTAAATTTATCCAACTGTATTCTTGTAAATGAGCAGCTTTGTACAGAACAGTGCTTGAAGAATTGTTCCTTAGGAAGCACTACTCTGAGCAACACTATTGCCTTCAGCACCTGCTGGCCCGTGTACCAAGCACACAACGCGAGTTCCTTATCTGCCCAGGGTAGCCTTACCTGGGTTAGTGTACAGGTGACTCTCTACAGTTTTTCCAATACTCTGCAGTTTAACAGCTTGAAGGGACTCATCCCCATGCATGACTGCTGGCAAGCTGCCCAGAGCATCGTGAACCAAATTTGCCACTTCTCTTACATCAAAGAGCTTCAAAAGTTCAGAGTACACCGATGGGAACGAGCTGAGAAACACAGCCTAGAGGAAAAGGGCAAAAATGGACAGTCAGATACTGCAGTGTAGTTTTGACTTTTATAGAATTTAAATAACTATAGAAATTTAAGTGACTGTAGAAAAATGCCTGGTTTTACATTTCAAGGGTAGTTAGTAGCTTTAAAAATGGTCATACTTTCAGAAGAAATATCCTCACATTCATTAACAGGCTTATATTTGTGACTATTTTCCTTTAAGTATTATCTAATGACTGTTCATTTCTCCCAGGGCAAAGCAAAGTAAAAAGTTCAACTTTGAACACAAATATTTATATTCTATAAATATTCTTCATGATCTATATGCGAGAGGAAATTTTTAAAAGGATAACAGAAGCCAGCTGATATCAGAAAAAAATATTTCAGTGGAGGTTTTTCTTGTTTGCTTTGGTTTAAGGCAAGTAATATAAGAGCCTCCATATCTTCCATTTTTCAAACATTTTTATTTTGGAGTGAGACAGCACTGGCAGTCTTGGTTCACTTCAGCAATCCTAAAATAGGGTTAGAAATTCATTGGTGAGTATAATGAATATGGAAACAAAACACTGGGAAAGAAAGGAGGGCAATGCGAGAGAAAGGAAGCTAGAACTGACATTCCCTTCTTCCTGTCCAAATCCCGACTGAGAAAAACTACTCATAACTCAGACATTCTTCACACTGGTGTCAGAACAGATGACACCAAGGTTAAAGATACTGAAGAATTCCAAATGTGGTTGTTTATATCATTTTGCTATTATCTTTTCACTCCACCTGCTTACATGATACGAGATGGAAGAACCACCTCTCTACCCTGCTCTCTCTGATTTGCCATTTTCTTGGAAGAACAATTTTCTACAGAGCTTAAGAAATTAATAATTCTTACCAGGTCTTAAACCCCTTTGGTTACAGAAAGAGGGGAAGAGGTCAGTAAATCTATGAGCTGTAGAAGTTGGTAAGTCTATGGCACTTAATGTAGAGAGCTGTCTCTTGTGTGTTTTGCCTCTGCACTTCAGCACTAGTCAATTTTAGTAGTCTCAATTGAAATAAAGATACCAGCTGAGTATTAGAATATACAGCTCAGCAAGACTTAAAAGTTTTCTGTAAAGCATGAAAACTCTGGTAGTCTTTTGTATGGCTCAAATTCTTCAGTTCCAATGTGGTTAAACTAAGCTGTAAAATGCCCAAAACAGAGAAATTACTTTATTTGTATCCAGCAATATCATTATTATAATTATAATGATAATTCAAAATTAAATATTAGATTTAAGATTACCTTTGCCAAGCATATTTAGAAGCTGCTGGTATGAAAATTTCACACTATAGGACAAAAGGTATGAGGGTGAGCTGAAAATGCCATTTTGCTCTAGCAAAAACACATTTTCCCTCCTGGGAATACAGGTAAGGACACACATACATTTTCTATGTTGGACATGGAAAGTGGCAATAAGAAAGGCATGCTTGAAAACTTACTTGTAGTTGGGATAAAGCACTAGCTCCTTTGCTCTCTTGGGAAAGGAAGAAGCGTACTGACATAAGAAGCTCTTGAATACAGCAGCGAAATTCCTCCTCATTTTGTCCACCAGTGGCAATAGAGAATAACCTTCGAGACTGAACTATATATTTAAAGATATATTCCTGTGCCTACAAATGTCAAAATCAGAGATAACTCATAAAAATGAACAAGCTCATCTTTAAATAGAACACACACAATGATTATATCATTCAAATAATGACAAGGGTCTGAAACAGGACACCATGTTATTTAGCATTGACAAATCTTTCTATTGAAACACTAACATTTCAAAAGCACATACTCAGAAATGCTCTTCTGCCTTTCATAATCTCTACAACCACAGAACACTTGTTTTTTTAACAAATGGAAAACTGCAAAATCTCAACACTGCCCCTCCCATCCTTTGCGTGTCTTTGGCTACAAAAACATGTATTGCATAAACATACAAGGCCAATATAACAAATAGGTTCAAATTTTTGAGCTGTTCGTAGAACTTCTCTGCCTGTTAGAAGTTGTTTTCCTGTCAACTGTTAACCATATAATAATAATAGTAAAGCTTAAATTAAGTTGCAAAACTGTTGGAGTGTAAATTAAAAAATACATCCCTTTCTTATTAGCAAGACACCTAAGCAAACAGCAGCATAGAAAGCACAGAAGGGTACCACATTGAAATTTTATTTCCAGACTGTAGCAGCTGTCCCAAATGGGATTATTGTGTTGTACAGCTCAGCCTGATTCCACACTGTGCTTTGTTGATGGTATAAAACAGGACAACAAGAGCAACCAAACCCACCAATTTCAGTAGAATTCCCGGGTGTCAGCTTTGAACCATTAAGTCAGCATTCATGTCTGCCATTTAGATTCAGTTATGCGACAGACATTAATACTACCAGTGCAATCTACATTTGACTTCTTGGACCTTACTCTTACTCATCTATATCTTCATTCAGTACAGAACATAGACTTCCAGAGCCTAGTGGCAGTAAGCTCCATTGATCAACTTACTGACAAAAGAGAACGATGAATAAAGTGACTGCACTGAAAGAGTCTGCAACTGGCGAGAATTAGTACTACCATTCCATCATTTATACATTCTCTGCTTCATTTCCTAAGTTAAACCTGTTGGTACTGTATGAATACATCATTCAAATATATAATTGCCTTCAACGATCTTTATTACCTTTAGTACTTCCTGTATGTGCTCGTGCAGCTCCACTTCAGTGACTCGATCGATATGCCACTTTAGTACTTTTATAAGATCTCTAGAATACCACATCAGAAAGTATTATAACACAGAAGTGGGAGAAGGGTTAACTTTGCATTTAAAATGCAAACCAATATCTGTCATATGAGAAACAGACAAAATAAAAAATATATGACTAGATTTCGCCAATATACTACAGGCCCAATATTACACTTAGTTTTCAGTCTGCTGAAAGCCACCTAGTAGATCTCTGATGAACAGGAAATGATACCAGCATTACATGTGCAGCAGAATGATTTTGACAGGGATACACAAGATCAGCTAAGCCAGAGGAGTCCCTGCCAGCATGGACTATCCCTGCTATTCCATGCATTGGTTTGCGGTCTCATTAAACTGCATTGGCTTTAATGGCAGTCCAGGTAGCAAATAAATACAGAGAGTACAGCAGAGTAAGTGATGCTTATTAGTGCACTGCTCTACACAGACAGTGAACACAGTTGCAGCTGGAAGATGTTAAGGCTCCTATGTTTTTCCAGGTAATTCAAATAAAGAAATCCAATGAAGAAAAAGATTTAAAAAATAAAGCCAATATTAGAGCATTAGCAAGCAACCTTTCAGGTAATTTAAAATTCTTTTACTCTTTTTTAATGGCCTAAATCTGGGCATTCATATAAGCACTGCATTTTATTTCTAATGATACCGTTTAATTTAACCTAATAACTGATTCTGCTTAGTTTACCAATAACTGTCAGAATTCAAGTCAGATAGAAAAAGTACAGACTTCACCTGTATGCAAGTGCTCCTGCAAAATGACTTTCAATGTAAGTGTCCATTACCGGCTTAAAGTGGTGAAACTTGCTGTCCTGCAGCAAATTTATTATGTGAACCTAAATGTGAGAGAAAAAGAAAAAAAATCTTTTTTTCTTTTTTAACTTAGTTCTTAAATAGTGTTAAACATCATCACAAAATGAAACTTACCAAACAATCAAAAACTTGTGATCCATATTTTTGAGAGTTTTCATCTAAAATCCCAAATAAAGTGTCTAGTGTATCTTGAAGAAACTGATTGCAGAGAATAAGAGACAGTTTGTTATTAAATAGGTATTTCTGTGACACAAATTTACATTATTTCCCTCATATTATCTTAAAGGATAGAATGGTATATACCTTCACTATTTCTGAACCATCAATTTCTTTTAATTTTGAGAGGCAACCCGCAATTTTTTCTGGGTGGGTTCTCCATTTCAGAAGGTCAAGCATATCTCCTGCAAAAACAAAATGCAAGACTAAAGCTGGAAGCAAAGCAGCATGTCAGATTTTAAATTCTACTATTACAGTCCACTCAGCAAAAGCTGGCTTCATTAAAACAAAAGAAAACATCTCAACATTTCCTAAAATATGATCTGCCCAACAACAAATTTTCATTCCATCCCATAATTGCTCCACCAATAGAAACACAAGAACATGGTACTGGGTCACTAAAATCAGTCTCCTGTGGCAAATATATCATGCAATCTTGTTCAGATATTTGTCAACTCCCATCTTAAGAAAAGGAATTACTTTGCTGTCTCTTATCCCATTGAAGGACGCCTTCCAGAGCTGTCATCTGACAGCTAGAAATAGTCTCCTAATTACTAGTTTGTATGTATTTAAAATATTTGTCTTCCCACATCTTTTTAGAAAACACAATGCCTCTAAGATCTTGCTTTATTAATAAGCAACACAGTCTCTTCTGGCAAATAAACTCTTCTGAGCTAAAACATATCTGAGTGTCTTCGTATTCCCTCCAGTTTTAATTTATTCTCCTTCAGTTTTCTTGACCAAAATGGTATTACAGACGAGATTACATCACTGTTTTCTGTATCATTAGCAAGCTCGTATGTCTGCTGTAAACACCTGACATATATGTTCTAGAATTTGGGGGGTTTTTTAGATGCATCATATTGGTGACACAAATAGGTCTTTCTCCTTTTTAATACTGTTCAGCTCCCTGACTACAGCAGAATCCCCAAGAGTCTCCACCAGGGTATGATCCTGCCTTTTGCACCATTACATTTGATCTAATTTCTACTCATTCTTATTAATTATCTAAAACAAAGTTACCTTGTTTTGCCTGTATCAGATTTTGCTTTTTCCCTCTCAACTACGTATTAGCAGCAAATGTCGTTAACAGGCTCCCTAGTGTCTCAGGTTTTAGCGAAGCAAGTCCAATCCCCACCCCCTTCCACGCCTCCAAACAAGAGATCAATCCCAGGCCTAATTCTTCTTCTTCTACTCAGGAAGGAAATTCCTTCCATTACAGTGTAACCTGCTAGTTCCCCTTTAGCCCTTATTTACCACTTTTAAAATTCTTATTCTAATCTGTATCTTTTCTAATTTCCCATGTGGTGTGTTATTAAGTCCTGATGGTTTCGACCTGCTACATTTCCTCTGAAGAATAATAATAAAAAAACCTTTGAAAAGAAAGATTAAGAAGTTTATTCTGGCATGGTATGTCTTTGATAAACTCATCTTACAGCACATTCCATTTAGCTATATGTCCATTTTTTTAATCCATGATTTCTTGTAAATACGTGCATAAAATTCATCGGAGGGTGATGGCCCAGTTAACATGTCCACTCTTGCACCTGTCTTAAATGTAGGTACTATATTTATTACTGTTAGGTCATGTGTTACTGCTTTCAGCTTCAGACATGTACTAAAAAAACCACCTCACTATGGGATTGGGAATTTCATGTCCCATATCATTCAATATCCTAAAATAGAGTTTTGCAAGCTTGGCTTGGCTTTTCAGCAGTTTTCACTTGATCCTGACCCTTGCTGAACTCTGACATGTTGCTGCTATTTTTCTCCCTTCTGTTGCAGGTTCTCTGCTTACTCCTCCCATTTTCTGCCGGTGCCTCACTCACGCATGTCTGCAGCACTCCTTTCAGGTTGTAGTCAGAGCACAAAGTTCCACATATTTTTGAACCGCTGAATTCAATAAATTCCAAAGCTCCTTTACATTCACGTTTACTACTTTCACGTTTCACTAAGACACTTTTCAGAATTTCTCAAAGCCTGGCCATTCGACGCAGAAAACCTTCACCACCATCCAATACTTCCACCAGTTTAAGATGAACCACGGGTCTAGTTGATCACTGTCCAGCAATGGCTTAGAAGGCTCCAGTTCTTCTGAAATGCTCTCAGTACTTATCAAACTAAGTAGCTAATAGCAAGTGTTCCTCTTGGTTCAGCAATTATTTGGGTGCTTTCTACCACAGACTGTTTTCACGCTCAAGTAACATTTCAGCCACACCCATCTTTTGTCATTTCTTTCCCAGTTTGCTCCAGGAAAGCTCCTCTCTCCCACAACAAGAAATGAAGTAATATTTCTGTCTTTAATAACATTAAATAAATCTCCACCTATATTCAAATATCACCAGAGGTGCTAACAGCAAACACTCTACATGCTATCCCACTAATATTTTGCTGCACCAATTGATTTTGGTGGGCACAAATTGTTTTTATGCATCAATACGTTTCTTTTTTTGTTTTGCTTCACCCTGTGCTAGTATGGAATGATTTGGATTAAAAGAGATCCTTGAGTTGCACTAAGAGCGCTGAAGGGTCCCACAAGTGCATCAGAGACACATCTCAAAGATGGAGGACAAGTAATATGTCTTACTATTCCTTCTGTCAGGAATTTTCAAGAAACAAGCATTACAAATCCAGCGAACCGCATTTGTCTTTTGGATAATTAAATGGACTTCTACACTTTATTCTGTTTAAGCCTCAACTTAAGTTGAGGAGTAGCGAGACTAGCTAAAGCTGTCAGTTCATAGCAGGAAAAATATTTCTTTACAGGTTTGCTGGAGGAACTTGGTGGGAAGATAGTTGACACTCAGTATGAGAGATTTGTTGGGGGATTAAAAAAGAAAGAGAAAGCAAATGTCAGACACTCACTTCAAAGCACTTATTTCAAGGAAAATGCTAAGGAGGAAAGACATTGCTGAGATAACATTAGCAAATAGCCCAAGCATAAATGACATGAATAGAAAATCTGACATGTGAATCGCAAGGGGAAGGGATAGCAATGTGTCATGTATTAAGAGAAATGAGAATATAAAATTGTCCCCCAAAATAGGCCCACTAGGAAAACATACTTTTGGAAAAGGGAAAAAGTCAAAGCTGCAGAAAAATTTTGCTGAAGAAGAAAAACATTTCCAATGCCTTCTCTCATTCATGATCAGATTTGTACATTAAAAATAGGCTACACCTGACCTACCATTCCTACCAAACAAAACACTTCCCTTCTCAAAGTCTGCAATTTAAATCCAAATTGCTAGGTTTAAGAAAAGGTTTAGAATCATGTGTGTAAGGAAGTGGTTTGGGATGATCTTTCCACCTCTCTCCTATCATAGAATGCTTGGGGTTGGAAGGGACCTTTAGAGACATCAGCAATTGGCCTGGTGTAGCACTACTGCACTTCAAAAGGAAAAAGCCGAATTCCAGAACTGGTGGTCTGCATTCCTCTTCCAACAGGCTGCTTCTGCGGTTTCCAACACTCCCTCCAAACTGGGGTCACTCTGGAAAGCTGCCGCCTGTTATTTTTGTTTTATTAATCACCAATTTGGCTTTTTTAAAGTGCAGATAGATGGATTGCACCTCTGTCTTGCAATAGATGTGCTGTATGGCATGTTGCTCTGCTGATGAACAGCTGCTTACTGGGGATGTGCCAATCAGTGCTGAGAAATGAGTGGATGCCAACTTGCTAAAATATTCTGACTTGCTGGATGGATCCTGAGTCTCTGGCAGGCAGAGATCCCTCCTGTATGTCAAAAACTAAGTAAGACTGTATTGATAACTACTCAGTAGAAAAGTACGATGTTCTCTCTGGCTCTTTTGGGGTTTTTTTAGGATAATGAAATATAACTATCTAGCGAAGAATGTAATATATAAAAGCTGGTGTACTGTTTTGCTAACATTAATTGATTAACTGTCCAGGATCAAAAGACAAGCTAAGGAAAAGCTAACTGGCAGACAGACTAGATAAGGATGCGTTCTTATGAGATGTGTTGATGAACGCACAGGCTCCCCTGGTTAGAAGGTCTGAAAATCGTTTGTAAATAACCCTAAAAACCCCTCCAAAATCCCCAGGGTAAGGAAGTTACGGATCCCAACAACCAGGAGTCAGCTTCCTTCCCCCAGTCCCCCTAATTTTAATATGCATGAGAGCTGATGGCATGTGGGAATAATCAATGAGAGAATGACAGCTGAGTAAAATTTCCCAGCAAGCTAGTAAAGCTGCGGCCTAATTCAGTCACACCCTTTACAAGTCTGGGTTTGGGGTCCTCCCCCACCCCATGGCCAGACCAATAGCATAATTTTCAATTCATTTCCAGGCTGGACATTGTTTTTTGTAGACACAGGCAGATCTCTGAGAACTTCAGAAAAATCTCCAAACTTAAAAACAGATTAAAAAATAATCAGCAATTTTCAAAAATACTAATACAAATGTTTACTAAAAAAGTAAATGCACAGATCTTTTTACTTCTGTTTTTTTTAATAAATACGCTACATTCTCTCAGGGATAACTGAAGTAATGCTCACATGACCAAATATCCACATGCTTTGCTCTATGTTCATTTTCTGAGCATGCAATAGGTTTTGGCAAATTTTTGTTTAAAAGAATGGGGATTTGGAAACTCACCAAGATGAACTTCCCAAAGAAGATCCTTGGAGAAAATATGAGCCTGTCTATTGAAAATATTTCCACCCTCTGAAGTACTGCTGAAATAATTGTTAACTCTTTCAGAGCTGAAAAGGGGATCAATATTATTCAGATATTCTACACCCTCTTACTCAGAATATGGTTAAAAAAAAAAAAGGAAATTTTATGCCCTACGGCACACATCTATTTACATTAAGTACAAAAATAACTCCTGTACTCTGAACATAAATTAGTATTACAACCCCAGACAACAGCGCAACTATTTATCAGTGAGACACTTAAGTTCCAGGCAGCACTTTCATGCATGTGTAAGTACCAGTAGATTCATGTGATTTCCTAAATCAAGGCCTTTAACTGAAGCAAATTTAGTCTCTGATTGCCTATTAGCAACCTTTGGGACAATCTTTTATTGGCTAACTTTTATTACTTTGAAGCTAATTGCTGTGAGAAAACAGAATGGATGTGCACAGTGAAACAGACCACTTACTATTTGCACATAGTTCTATTTTGCACACTTGCTACTAAATGGTGAAAATTAAGAAGATTATTTCAATTTAAAAGGCTGCTCTAGTTGTTGTTGAACACCTAAAATCAATTTGTACGCAATTAGCAATTTTATCATCATACATATAAGAAGGGTAGAGACACAGTCATTCACACACAAGAGAGACCTAAGCAAGATCTTAAAACTGTGATAAACAGCTCAGAAAAAATAATATAAAACTGTAGGGATATCAAAGAATGGTCAGAAACACATTACCAAGCAAATACACAATATTTAGAAATTTGTGGAAAACTGTTGTTGTTACAAACTGTAGTTAATATGGCAAAAAAAGGAGAATCTTAAAAACTTTATACAGAGCAACGGTAAAGAGCGCAAACACATGTATTTCTATCTGCTGCTCCTTATATCCAGTGTGTACGATTGTTTTAAGTAGTAGTAAATGTTTGTTGGCTTTAAGGAAGAGAAGTGATACAACAAAAAAGCAATATATGCCTAATTAAAACCAAACTGCTACAGCCTAAAGCCTACAATAAGTATTTCATAAAAACTCTACAACAAACAGATTAAGAGGTTTTGTAAAGCAGCTGGGTTTTGATAGTTGATTCCAAGAGTGCTGCATTTGATTCCAATATCATGTTAATCTAAAAAGCATTCTTGAACTACTTAAAATCAGTGGTTTATCATGCTGCATTGGTTTCCATCTGGATATAAAAAACTATGAAGAAAACCGGTTTGTAAAATGGATAGAACATAAGCTATTTTTGAGTACATCCATACTTGCTTGGCACAGAAAAGGCTAGCTATCACACTGATTTGAATTCATCATGTTTTAAATAATCAACATATCCTACCATTTTGTGTGAGTTTAGTGGAGCAGAGAAAGGATGTAATCCAGAAGGACTCCTTAGTGGTTTTTACTGCTTGGCTGTTGTTTCCTAGGAAAATTCCCTTTGAAAAGGGGAGTTTGAGGTAGCGACCAGAATCCTGAAGGTTTGTGTTTTCTTCACACTGTGAAAATAAACCAGTTAAAATAACTGTACTGCATAAAAACAAAGGACCAAATCCCTAAATGATATGAATTATTATTGTTTCTCTGCCAGAAATTGAAGAATTTTCATTATGCCTGTTGCAAGTTTGGTTTTGGATCATAGCTTCCTATCTGACATTGAAGTCTAACAAAATTGCACAGGTTACATCAAATGACTAGCTACAACTTTTGGTGATAAAATCTAAACTTTATCTGGGAGCATATGAAATCCTCTGAACAAACAGATATCTGTTAAATGTGGAAACAAAAATTCCACAAAACTGAAATATCTCTAAAAATTGAGTAGATCTGCATAAATGAGCTTGCTTGATTTTTCAGATTTCAGCAATTCAGTAAGAGGGTGTCACGGGGTTTGCTTTGTGTGTTATAAATACCATGTAATATAGCAGTGAGACTTAGTAAAACCAGTGCACTGAAACACATAACAACATTCAATTGCAGCTTGTAACAGGAAGCTTAATATTAAACAATCAGCAATAGATATTTTAATGGTGACAAGATTATCACTCATTTGGTAATGAATACAGACTTTCATGACCTAATGTTTCTGGGCATTTAAAGTACGTTCCAGAGGAATCATTACAGCTAACGATTATTAATTCAAATTACCTTGTGTACAATGAGTTCATGGGTGCCATCTGGCAGAGTCCTCCCATTTTCCTGCATCAGGGGCACGAAAGAAAAGCCAAACAACTTCTTCTCACCCTTTTCTTTTGCTGAAATACATATGTAAATAGCAGCACTTAAAGTTAATATTACACATTTTAGACAAAATAAATGGATATAAGACAACATAATATGGACTTGGTAATGTTAGGTTAACGGTTGGACTGGATGATCTTAAAGGTCTTTTCCAACCTAAACGATTCTATTATTCTGTTAGAAAGCATACTGGAAGCTATTTGCAGCTAGTCAGACTAAGATTATCTTAAATTTCTTTTCAGATTTGCACATTACCTCCCGTAATGGTTTCTTTTATCTCACTGTAAAACAGAGAGCAGTATTCTGGAATGATTTGGTATTTATTAACAACAAATAATGGAAGCCACCAAATATGCAGTCTTAGCAATATATAGAATGGCAGGAAACCCAAATGAATGTGACCTAGGCAGTCCAACATGAAGAGAAAAGGGAGTTTTTTGTGCCAATTATCCCCTACAGTAGCTTCAACCTACTGGTCTCCATTTTAGGTCAGCCTCAGGCTACACAGCTATGAAAACTGTCTCGCATACCTTGGTATGCAGAATGTAGACCCAGACCTCAATTTTTACCTCAATGTCATCTCTAAAATTGTTCAGAATATTTAGAGAATTTTGGAATTTTATTTTATAAGTAAAAAAAAAAGCAACACAAAAGTGATGTTAATTGACCATGATGTATCTACGTACATTTCCCATTGGTTGGATTGCTAAACATGTACTAAGGAACGGGTATAATTTTGGATAATTCACCAGGTAAATTCTAAATTTGCATTTTGAGTTTACCTGAAATTCTGTTTACATTTGCAGCTGCAATGTTGTCTATTTCTATTTAATAAAACTAGACTGGTTCGTCCTGGTATTTAGGCTTTACCAAAGGACTGAGTTCCACCAAGTAGAGCTGCAGGTCTGAGAAGCTGTGTCATGAAAGCACTACAGAGAAAGTTCACGCAGCTGTCTTTTTCCTGAGGTATTATGGAAACTCATGTGCTGACTGCAGCTGTAACAGAGAGGATTAGCAGAAGTCGTGAACAGCGCTTACTGGAACAGTGCCGGAATTCACAGCGGATGTGTGCTCCTCTGAATTTATCCACAGGAATAGGAAGTTTCAGCAGCTCAGCCCATCTGGGACCATTGTTATGATAAAGCACAAAGGAATGGTACTCGCTGGCTGGTGGCTCTCCAGAGCCGAATGAGATAAAATCCTAATGAAGAAAAAGTATTGATTAGAGATTAAAGGCAGATTAGTTCACTGGTAAGATGTCATCAAGGACCGTTCTTAAAAGGAAGACTATTAACTATTTACATTCATATCATAAATACCACATGTGGTGTAATTCTCAATATCTTTAAACCCGCAAAAATAGTAGCACTTTGTTAATATATGCTGATTAGAAAAAAATGGCAAGAATCATCCACACCGATGAGAATCAAAGCATTATATACGTGAACTGGGTGATTAGGAAGGCTTAAGCAACAAATGTGGTGTGGAGTCCTGTGACACAGCATGGTCCATCCAGTGTTATGGCCAAGCAACAAACAAGAATTTAACTGAGACAAGAACAGCCCAGGCTTAAGAACTTTACTCCTCTGAAATAAGCCTGTAACACTGCTGTTATCAGTGATACGTCCCAGCATGAAAAAAGAAAGAAATCTGGATTCCCTGACTAGGAAGAAGCAAGTTGTTGGTTGCCTTCGCAACACCCATGATTTGTCTAAGTCCTGACTTGGGGGTACCTATTAATTCTCTGTGGGAAAGGTAAGCTGTAGCTTTTCTCCTCAGCAATTACAAGGGATCACACTTGCCTCTCAATATCCTTTATTTTTTTTTATGGGTACGTATATAAAAAGGATATATACACACACACATGTATATATATTTTTATATATACAAAACCATACATACATTGCTTGCCATGCATTTATACACACAATCTCACTTCACATACACACACACATACAACCTGCACCAGACTATCTGCGTCAGCCTTTCTTCATTTTGTCACCCCACAGCCCTCAACATCATACAGAATGTGTGAAAAAAGTGCTTTCAAATAAAAGGGGGGAAAAAAAAGATATTAAATATGTATGGAAAATGTTGAAGGTGAACAGAAATCTTTTGGTACAGAAAAAAATCTGAGAAACAGTCATCTATTAATAATTAAAATATAAACCAGTGCCTGTTTGTAAGCTATCACCAGCAGCATGCAATCAAATCTGAAGAAAAGGAACATTAATTTATTCTTTTATTGATACATGGTGGTGATTTTTGCATCAAGGATCTCTGATTTATTAAAATCAGACAAAAAATTGAAAATGATCGAAACATGTTCTGTGTAACATGAGGAAATGCATACCTACTAAGAAGAATTATTAGGAAATAAAAAATACTCCAAAACTTGATCTTGCTTCAACATTTTCCAGTATCTTAATGGAATCATTAGTTATTTGTTTGGCAATTACAGGCGTTTATCTGAATCACATAATGGATCACAGAAATAAAACAAATATGCGTTTTATAAAGGTTTTAAACGAAGTGGAAATACTTTGAATACCTAAAGACAGGAAAAGATAAACACAACCTTTCCAAATCAATTTTGTACTCTTCAAACAATGCCACAGATAATTTACATCTGAAAGAGCATATGAAAAATTAACTCCACCAAGGAAAAATATACAACAAAGATACCTTTAAAATTTGACCACTGCTGTCCACAACATGCATTGTCACTTCCACATTTCTGGCCACACTTTTCCCTCCTTTCTCAAATTCTCCTCTTTCTACAGTGATATATAAATCATTCCTCATTTCACCTATAAAAAAAAACCAAACCAAATACAAAGTATGCAAAAGTCAGTTCAACTTGCTTACTTTTTGCTTTGAGTACTTTAGTAGACTTTCACCTTCTCTTCCAAACAGAGTGTCACACCCACAATCTATCAGTATTTTCAGATTTTAAATAATAACAATTGTTTTCATAAACCAAGAAAACCAACAAAGTCTTCATCCCTCTAAAAGCCCAAGAGATTATCTGCCATACTAAATGAGTTCTAGGGGCTTTTAGTTATCTGTTAGCTCTTTTTGGACCTTACAGTGGCATGTCCAGCTATACCAAAGCTGGTGTCTATCTTCACCTCATCTAATTTCTCTTTTAATCTAAGGCAATATTAATGGGTTTTTTTTTATTTGTAATCTTTACATTTCTCTGTTTAATGTCTCCTTGAAGAACTGCTTACATCTTTTTTACACTTAATCTCAAAGGAAGTGCATTACTTTGAAGAAGCAAAACCAAGATGTTGGTATTCTTTCCATTAGAAGGGCAGGCTTCCCAGATTGCTAGCATTCAAATCTGTCTTTCTGATCTAAAAGATCTCAACATATTTTACAATGACAGGGTGTTCTGAAGTTTTCTAGCAAAAAGTTAGCTTAGTTAGCTTATTTTTTGCTTGTTGGAAAGGCTGCTGAGAAATTAAAATCTTCATCAACACATTCAAACTACAAATCCAATACAGGCACTACCTAAGTGTTACATAGTATGTACAAGTTACTAAATACTGCTAGCACATTTAAATTGAAATTCTTTGCACATTCATACATTGACATGCTAAGTATTCTGTCAGACTGTAACCAGATCTTCTGGATGAGATCAATGGTAATTTTATTTTAGTTTCAATTGACACAAACCACAAAGTTTATCGGTGATGAAAGGAAGATAGATTGTTTGGCAGTTGAGGGGCAGGGGGAGAAGCAATACTGGTGGTGGCTGGAGTGGCACAGTAGGGAAGCCCCTGTTCTGTTTGAAGATGCTAAATCTATTTCTAAAAAGTGTAAACCAGTCTAGCTCTGGACAAACATTACTAGAACTACTTGGAAGCAATTGGACATTCCTTGTGAAACACTAGAAAAATGAAGGATGAACAGCATCATAATTAGGAGCATCTTCTAAAATGCCAATTTCTACATGTGGTAGAAAAAAAAATTGAGAATATATGCTTTTATTTAGTGAAATGCAAGTTTAGCATAATGGGAATATCCTCCTTTAATAAAGCAGATTTTCACCACGCACTGGTGAAAAGAAATCAAGTATGACAGTTTTGTGTATTTATAGGCGTACCACTTAGAAGCCAAACATGAGATGGATACTTGTACTGAGGGTAAAACTAATTAAAAGATATGTAACTGATAAATAATTAGTGCATCTTCAATATCTGGCTTCCTTTTAATATGCAAGCAGAATTTGATCTGCTTGAACTTTCCAGGATACTCGTTTCACGTTTCTTCCATTTATTTTACCGCATGCAACTCTCCAGTGATTTTTAAGTACCAGAAACAATGATCTTGCTACAGTCTTCTAACATTTTTATAACATTATTCTATCACTGTATGCAAAATAATTAAATGATTCCTCCAAAGCACAATCTAAACCACTGCCAAAGGAAAAAAAAATGGTAGAAGAGGAAACTGCTATATTATCAAGCCCTCAAGTACCATCTCCATAAAAAATGGGGGGGGGGGGGAAATCTGCCATTATATTACGCTATTAACAATTATCTTCTGAAACAATTATGGACAGAGGCTAGAGTACAGCCAGACAGAATGAACAGAAACAAGTACCAGGACCAGATGGTATTCGCTTAAGAGTTTTGTGTGAAGTCAAGGATGAAAGAGCTGAATTACTAGTAAGTGTGTGCAAACACTGAATCAATCTCTGGTTCCCAGTGGGAAACAGGTTCAAAATAAGCAAAAGGTGGTGGTTATTCAGGCAATGGACGGCAAGACTTGTAAAAAAAAAAAAAAACAACCCACAAAAAAAAAAACCCACAGAAGCAACCCCAAAACAAAAACCAAACCCAAACCAAAACCTTTCTGAAGGATGCTATGAATGTGAGAAATGTACAAGGGTTGAAGGGAAGAATGGAGAAGTTGTGGAAGGAAGATCCACTAAAAGATATGAAACAGACGACCACAAGCAGCTCAGGAAATCCCTTGAGCTGAAAATAGCTGGAGGCTGGGAGACCATCAGGGGGTAATTACCATACATGCATATATGCATGCTCAGTTCTTACTCTTCCTTAGGGGTCTGTTCACAACACTCAGCTAGACCAGCCCTTGATCTGAATCAGTAAAGCTGTTCATATGTTTATTCAAGTCACAAAATTACCCTTAAAACTACTAGATTCTGATTATTTCCACATTGCAGTAATATTTTATTACAAAAGTTTTAGAAGCTAGTACAGTATAGTTACCAAAGAGCATGCAATATATTGAGTCCTTGCTTAGCATACACTTATGCTATGATCGGCTCTAGTAAGTGCTGGCAGCTGGTCTGTATTGGGTCTGGCTGAGATGGAGTTAATCTTCCCCAGAGCAGCCCTCCCAGTGCTGTGCTTTGTACTGGTACCTAGAAAGGTGTTGGTAACTCAGCAGTGTTCTGGCTGCTGCTGAGCAGCGCTCGCGCAGCATCCCGGCTGTCTCTCCAACATTCCCCCCTCACCAGTAGGCTGGGGGTGGGCAAGATCTTGGGAGGGGACAGAGCAAGCTGGCTCAGCAATAAAAGCTAAGAGAAAGGAGAAGGAAGGGGGGACATTCATTATGTATATCTGTCTTCCGGAGCAACTGCTACGTGTACCGAAGCCCTGCTTCCCAGGAAGTGGGTGGACATCGCCTGCCGATGGGAAGCAGAGAATAAAATCTTAATTTCCCTTTTTTGCTTCCACACACGCCCTTTGCTTTTGTGGTTTTTTTGGTTGGTTTTTTTTAATTAAACTGCCTTTATCTTGACCCACAAGGGGGTTTTTTCCATCTCATTTTCTCCCCACTTGTCCTGCTGAGGAGGGGAGTGATAAGAATGCTTTGTGGCACCTGGCATCCAGCCAAGGTCAAACCCACCACATGGTCACTTTCAAGAGTCTTACATTCAGAAAAATGACAACACACAATAACCAAAAAGAGAACCTTTGTTATGCAACTGATTTTAGCACACAACTTGTAGTTGCAGAGATTCCTCTTGTCCTGGTTTTGGCTGGGATAGAGTTAATTTTCTTCCTAGCAGCAGGCATAGTGCTGTGTTTTGGATTTAGTAGGAGAAGAATGTTGATAACACACTGATGTTTTTAGTTGTTGCTGAGTACTGCTTATGCTAGTCAAGGACTTTTTCAGCTTCCCATGCTCTGCCAGGCGCACAAGAAACTGGGAGGGGGCACAGCCAGAATAGTTGATCCAAACTGACCAAAGGGCTATTCCATACCATATGACGTCATGCTCAGTATAGAAACTGGGGGGGGTTGGCCGGGGAGCAGCGATCCCTGCTCGGGAACTGTCTGGGTATCGGTCGGCGGGTGGTGAGCAATTGCATTGTGCATCACTTGCTTCATGTATCATTATTATTATTATCATTATTATACTGTTACTATTAGCATTACTATTTTACTTTATTTCAATTATTAAACTGTTCTTATCTCAGCCCAGGAGTGTTTCTCACTCTTACTCCTCCAATTCTCTCCCCCATCCCATCGGGGTAGGGGGAGTGAGCAAGCAGCTGCATGGTGCTTAGTTGCTGGCTGGGGCTAAACCACGACACTCTTTAAAGATTAGCTTGAATTCTACATGCATTTGTGCTACATTCAAGTCATTATTTTTATTTATCAGAAAGAATTTATTTCAATTTTCCATGGGGTCTTCACAGAAACACAACCAAACAACCATTTCCACCACAAATTTCACAACCTAGCCCAGAAGAAACTCAGTGAAAACTGTATTTTTTTCCTTTTTAAACAGAGTGAACTGTAAAGGATTTAAATGAAAATGACAGTGGAACAGGTTGCCCAGAGAAGTTGTGGATGCCCTATTATTGGAAGTGTTCAATGTCAGGTTGGATATGGCTTTGAACAACCTGATCTAGTCTAGTGAAAGATGTCCCTGCCTATGGCGGGGCAGGAATGATGATCCTGATCTTTAAAGATGATATTTAAAGGTACTTTCCAACCCAAGCTATTCTATGATTCTAAACAAAAATAAGAAAGCATTTCTAAAAGAAGTCATTAGAGCTTCACAGCAGTTAAGCAGGCTTTCAAAAATGGTGTCTGCATTTTAAGGTTTTTAAAAAAAACCAAACCCATTCAGTTTCACCTTTTTAATTGCCAGAAGAAATCAAATCACAAGGGAAAAAAGACATAGGAGTAGGATGTACTTTCATAAATATTGTCCTGTTCTCCTCTTACAGAACCTTGGTAGAGTTAGTAATCAGTGTCATGATAGTTCAGATGAATTTTGTCTTGATCTACATCCATTCAGGAAGCTCTACTCTGTTTTCAGTGTCTCAGAGCAAATCAAGACATGTGGGTCACATTATTGAAAGAAAATGTCAGATCTTCTCCATTATCATGCAAGGCATATTAGATCCAAGAGGAGACTAAGCCTCTCAGGCTATATGAGGAATAACGATGTTTTCTACAGAAATGGATAGAAAAGCAGAATGGAGATAACTGAAATAGACTGGAAAATTAATCAAAAAGAATGTAAACTGTGGGCTATATATCAAGGGTACAGTCTGCATCAGGCAGCTATAACAGCAGCTTCCTTTTATCAAAGTATGTGGTATATCTGACGTTTTATAATCTTCACAAAAATGTAGGTTTTGGTTTAAATTTGGCCTTGTATCTGGATTTGTACTTGCACATATTTCACTTTTGGTTTAAAAACATCACTACTTGCAACCAAAATGTAAGAAAACCAACTATATTGAACTTGCACGGTTCAGATAAGTGTACTGGAATGTTAAGAATTTAAAGCCATGCTCCTGACAAATCTTCGG